GCCTTTTAACACGTTCCATTTATCAACACCATTAACATTTAAATTTAATTTGCACCGCTCCATATATCTGTGTTGATTGGCGTTTGTTTGAGGCACTTTCATTAGTCAGCGAGGAGTAGACTATCAATTTAAGATGTTGGATAAAACAATTGGCTGAACTCCGTTCCTTATTCATTCGTCAGCGTTTATGTAAAATTATCACATGTGAATCAGCCTTTTTGAGATTATTTGTGTCTTTGAAATTATTAAAAGTTTTGGCTTTGTTGAACTATTTTACCTATTTGAAATTATTAAAATGTTTGGCTTTATCAAAGTATTTTACCCCTTTGATGTGGTGAACTGTTGATATTTAAACAAATATATTTTTCGCGACACTCGTGATCGTACTCGCTGCACCCAGTTAGTGTAATATTATATTATCTGCAATATATTGCATCAAGAGTCAGGATGACTCATCGTCACTGGACCCCTGTTAAGATTTATTCAAAGATGTCCAGTGCCGATAGGTTGCCAAGTTTTATTTTTACATTGTCAGTACTGTGATTTGCAAAATTTGATACGGTGCCAAGTCTTGTCTTTATTGCGCCTGAGTCAATGATGTTAATTTGTGTCCTTGATAAAGTGCCAGGTTTTCATCTTATTGTGCTTCTGTATAGATTACAATACACCCCCTCCAGAAAGATAGAGTCTAAGGGTGGGGCATTTTTGTAGCTCAGGCAGAGAGCCCTGTATTAGGTGTTTCGGGGCGCCACTTCTTTGCGTTTTTACTTTGCTTAGAGCAATGTTTGTGGAGATACTTTGGTGCTGCTAGTCGTCAAATGGGTCATGATGAAGTATTGGTATTTAAAGTTGCATTATTTGGTTGTGTGTGAAGCATGTCTAGCCTGCTCAGTGCTCCTAGCTAACTAAGCCTGACTCCCTCCTACTATTGCTGCTTATTACCGTTTATTATTATGTGCTTGTACTACTTCTTGTTTGCTTTATTGGGCGTGCCTATTGCTGTCTGGGTGATTCTGATCTAAATATGTATTTAGAATCATGTGCCATACTTCGTTATGCATTGTATATGTTAATTGCCAAATCGTTTCCTAATCGATTTCGTCGTAAATATATCTTTTGGTCTTCAGTTTGACCGAATTTGCCGGCAGCAGCAGCAGTGCTGCAAAAATTGAGTATGTTATGTTGAGAATGTTGAGTGGTAGTAGCATTTGTTGCAATTTGTAAGCTTCATAGTGCAGTGCTACCTGATTACTGTCTATTACTGTATAAGTTATTATGTAGCTATAAATTGGTCTGTCTATCAGTAAAGTGGAATTCTTAAATTTCTATGCCGCTAAATTCATATACCTAATTTTGACATGCAGTAACAATATTCCTATCATGATGGTATTTCGTTTTAAGACGGATTAATTGATAAAATTTAGCAGAAGTACCCGAACTAGGAATGCTGGGTGTCACTAACAAGGGTTTAATGTTCATGTCTGCCTCCTGAAAAATAAATTGGGAAACCCACACTGTTATATTTCATGAAAGCAGTCTAGCCAGTCCTCTCTCCTTCATATGGTAGTTTGTCTGAGGTTTCATTCACTAAGATTTAACATGACCCACCAGAATTTGTAATTACCACGGACGTGTTATCTAGGTTCCGTATGTGTTGAAATTATTGGAGCTTTTATTGGAAAGCGATTAAACTTATTGCGATTCAGAGCAAGGGGAAACGAGTTTTTGCTGTTTCTGAAAATGTCTGATTTATCTTGATGCAGGTTCACGGGCTGTTTTTGCTATTTTCTAATGCAGCAAAATCAAGAATGTAATTATATGCCTCAACTCTCCACTCGCCTAATTGTCTTGCTGTAGCTCTTTTGTAGAGACAATGGTCACATTATACATACTCCGTGCCGGTTCTTATACTCCAACCTAGTTTTACATTCTTATTTACCCATGTTGTGTCCCGTTGTTCAGCAGGAATTCTCCTCGATGTTCCCGTCATACATTTAATTCGTGAAGAATTTAGCCGGATATTTTACGTGTCATGACACGATTCGGAGCGTGTTTGTGTTTATCAGGTTGAAAGGTTTCACCCCTCATATTACGAGCTCACTCTCTCTCTCTCTCTCCCGGAGCTTATTTCCATACTTAACACTTAGAACTTGAATCAGGGACCGGTATTTTATAACGTATCATACTCTGGGTATTTCTTGTCATTTACTTCGCGCGTTTTGAAGGGTTTCAACTCAACTAGTTACCATCATATAGTATGTAGTTGTAATTTTACTCCTGCTCACTTTCTCGCTTCTTTCAGTTTTTATGTTTAAATCTTTAAGAAACACTGGCGGAACTTTCTCGTTAACTTGATATAGAGGCTCCGTGTAATTTTGATACTATTTATAAATCGTCAGCATGTTGCTATACTCCGTATAATATAATATATTGTGTTAGAGAGCACAGTGCACCGTGTGCTGCAGTGCTCGTGAAATTTTAGTTATCTTGCACTGATTCACTATTTCTACGTCATCAAATTTACTTTATATCGACTAATAAATATCTCTGCAGCTAGGTATATCATGGCACGTACCCTGATCGACTGGTTAAAGATAGCTAAAGGTTTACAAGTCTATCAAGATAACAAAGATCTGGATATTTCTGATATTATCTCCTCTAGCAGCAGTGACTCTTCAAGAAAACTTGCTCACCACAGTTTACCCCGTTTGTGTAATCTCAGCTCAGAATGCTTGCCAACACTAGAAATCATTCTTAATCACCCAGCCGTTAGTAAAGATGATGTTGTGATAACAGACCAAGATACGGTTCAGATTTTAGTCAAGTTTGACCTGGATGTCAGGATAACTGTTGATTTATCTAGTGGAAAATGTTTCAGTGATCCTTATTTAGATTCGCTGAAGGATGTTGACAGCTTACTCGCGGCTTTAGAAGATCCGCACCATGTTAAAGTGGTTACTCGACCGTGAAGACCGTTCCAAATAGTGGTTGGAGCTCAGTCTGGGATGTGTCGAGAAAGGTTTCTCTGAGATTTAAAACCTTCTTACCGTATACGTCAAGTTTATTTGTGATCTATGTATTCTTCCTTGCTCTTTGTGGGGCCGATCCTAGCAGTTAAAATTCGGGCTCCGTAATCGATTATGTTGCAATCTTGTTAGCCTCATAACCTTGCGCGGCGCAGAGGGGTCTTCTTCAGTTGTCAGCATTTAGAACACATGCAGCGCAAATAAAAAGCTGCTAACCTTGAGCATTTGCACGTACGTTTTTTATTCCGATTCGATCCTCTGAGAGTTGATCTCTGCTGAAATCTGAATCTTATGTTATATTCTAAATGGTTTACAATTTCTTATGTAACCCATGCTCCGCTTCAAGGGCATATGAAAAGATTGCTTAAACAACCTTCTTTTTTTTCATGTTATCGTTTATTTTATCTGTTGCGTTTGAATGCTCTCTTAGGTTTCATCTAAATACTGTGGTATTTAGATGTTCCGTTTTCCGTCTTTTTACAAGGCCAAAACATTAAATCACGATGGATTATTCTTTCCGGCTTTCTGTGAGAATTCCAGATGAATAACAGTTTTAGTTTCAATACTCTATGACTTAAACCTATTGGATATCATATTTATCGGTCGACCTATCAGCAAGCGTTACATTAAACCATAACTTTATGAGCCTCGCACCTTTTGAATTCATTGTATTATAAATTACGTGACATTAATTGTTATATTTCATTGTTATTAATTTCGGCATTGCCTTGCTTCGTATTTATAAGGTTGCTATTGTAGGCGTGTCGCCCTAATCTTAGATTATTTAAGTATTTAACTAATTTCATCATGAGTTTTCACCTAGATAGTTCGATTCATTACATATATTTGGGCTGCAAGGTCATTAGGATTTGCCAAAGATTATTGCATTTCATTGCCTATGAAACCATGCATCATAATTAGGGAGCCCAAAATAAACGAATCACTTTTCGGTCATGTGTCTTGTTTTATTGTCTGATATTGGTTCATTCGATGCTTACACAATTTATGTGCGACCTTTTGTTACTATCTTCATGGATCATAATCACTATTTCGGCCTATGTGTTCTTGAATTACCTACTTAGGCTTGGTAACATTGTTAACAATCTTGTTACAGGTCCACTGAAAGGGGGTTTTCTATTTGAAGTTTATCAATCCCGTTTAAAGGTGTAAATTAACTTTGATAAGTTGCCTAAGTAGTCGTTGTATCTGCAAGATGAAATGATATGAATAGACAATTTACATTTATTTACACAAATTGGGACTAAACACAACAGTCCATTTTACGTATTAAGGTTTCCTTTGATTTGCTCAAAGATAATATTTGCAGTATGATTGGTTAACGAAAAATTAGGACAGGAGCTTCGTCCAGATTTTTCGTCAGCAAAATTTCTCTGGCATAAATCTATTTGAGAAATTTCTTTGCTGTCTTTCACTTTTCGTTTACAGCACTCGACCAGCCTCAATGCAGACGTGACTAAAATTTTGCGTTTCAGTTACTGTCGAGTTCATTGTACACCATTTGCTGAATTATATGTTATTATATCTGTCTGAGCCTAATTGTGAATTGGTTCGAGCCATCGAACGAGATAATTTGATCAAACGGTTGAATGACTTTGTGTGCATCTCCCCAATTTTATATAACTCAATTGTGCGATAATGTTGCTAAATACTATATACTTTGTCATGCTTATTCAATGACTTGGTCTGCAGCGGATGGCACTTCATTTCATGCCTAAAGTTTATATTTTCTGTACCGTTTCACACATGATATATTGCTATATTTTGTGCACGTTTAATAGTTTCTATATTTAGGTAGACATGAAATGTGGTTGGTATAAGATAAGATGCCGGACACAGCATTCATTTTAATAACTGATATATTCACATTCCGGTAATTTTATCAAGTATTTTTATTCTTAATTTTTTCCACAATTTGTATGATTTTACAAATCACCTAACATGTCCACCCCTTCTAGAATGGCCCAGGGCATCCATCCTGGATAATGAACTGAAATGAGACTGATGTGCAAGAAACTATGTTTACCTGGCTTATGCCGTTTTTTCTGCTGAGTGTATCATTTGGAGCATGTCCGGACCCGGCGCACATCGCGTGTGTCGGTACATCCTGTGAGTCAGACAGAGACCCGGGGTGTTGTCCGAACACATGTGGAACTTTGACACTTATCAATGAGATCGTATCCCTGTCGAGAATCACACGGGAGGCTGGGGATTGCCCAGATGAGGAGGAGGGTAGCATACAGCCTGATGGCTGTAAGGTTTGTGTCTGTAAATATAACAGAAGGGAGTGTATATACAAAGGTTGTAAAGCCTGTATGGTGGTCAGTGAAGGAAACACTACGAAGTACAACCACGGAGAGAACTTCGGCTCGGGATGTCTGCAATGCACGTGCAAGGACGGCGAACTTGACTGCAATCATACGAAGTGTGTGGCCTGTGATCATGGGGGGAATTCCACTATGTAAGTTTATTTTTATAACTTACCAAACCCTTTTGGAGCAGATTTTTTGCAACTAAATTACAGCTTCTTTAATTTACCGTCTAACATAATTATATATTATAAAAGTTAGCAACATGCCGGATAGGAGCATTATTTAGTTATTTACGAGTTGCATTTTACAAAGATGAGTGTTTAAAAGTTCTTATTATCACGTTGTTTCCTTTGTCGCTAAAACGTGATATTAACGTGATAATAATCAGACATCTTGAACACTCATCATTGTCTACTTAAAATTGTTTTATTTTTATTACGTAGTCACAATGAGAAAAGTTCGACCCCATATTAACCCTCACTCCAGTATCTCCCTAGGTCTGGTCAGAAGAAGGTATTCGGGTGTGGAACGTGCGAGTGTTTCGACGGACAGTGGACCTGCAATGAAGCATGCGGAACAAATTCCGCTCAGGGCCAACTCAGGTGTGGCCCTGGCTTTTTGCTATCCCTGGTGTTGCTGAGGCACCTGGCACTTCACATTTTCTAGGTTTAGGATTGACAGACATTTTAACCACATTTGTAACTATTTTTAGCTAGCTTTAAAAGTTGAATATTTTATGATCTCTTGAGTATACAATTCCTGAGAATTTAAAACTGAGATAGTTTCACCCTGATATTTATCTCTAGTTATTATGGTTCCAAGCACCTCTGTTAAGTGACAGCTTTACTTGATATTAAAGTTGTTCTCTCCATGGAACAGCAAATTAACTGTTAAAGCGTCGTATTTCTGAATAGAAGGCCTGAAGTAATTAATTAATTAGTTAATTACAAACTTTGCAATAGTCGCACGTGGATCGTGTTGGCACAGCCCCAATTTTGTACTGGCCTATCATTCAGATTATGATGAGACTTTCAGTTGGTTTCTATACATACGAATTTTGATTTGATTTTTCGTTGTTATACATACACGAATTCATGATATAACTAATTTGCTGCATTTTGGTATAACAGTCAACACTGTAAAGAAAATCTTTTTTGGAAAATAACTCAGTGGCTTTAACCGCACTGGCTTATTTGAGAATTTCATGATAACTCTCCGTATGATTGGATAAAATAATTGATTTAATGATGATCTTATTAGTTCATTTTTGCTGTATATTTGGCGCAGAAGATTTATTAGGTAGAATAATTTGCACCGGGCCTCTGTCTTAGCGATCGCACGGAAACACAGGATTTCCCGACTCGAATTCCCTCAACATATTTTTTAATTCCTTCCTCCTTATGATCGCATAGCAGATTAATTGTCTATATATGATACATAGATTCAATAATAATTGTAATATTTATTTTTCGAACATTTAGGTAAATGAAATTTACAAAAGTGATTTTTTACGTAAAATGTATCCAGCGATTGGCTGTTAGAACTATATTTAGTATATCGGTATAGGGGGGCAACCCCTCTATAGATGCTGGCAAGATGTTATATAAAGTACAGTGTACCGCAGAGCTTCCTAACAGTGCAAGAAAATATACACATTTCTTTTTTTCTGAACTCTTGCTTCGAATTTGCAGCCACGAATGTTTTACATTATTTTAAAGACCGCAATAGCGCTCATAAATCTGCCTGTAATGAAATGTTTGGTATTATAAGTGCTGTTTGGTATTTAAATAAAGATCTAGGTCCATGTTGATCAATGTTTAAATACTGGATCCTCCTACGATGTGGCCAGACTGGCAGCTATCTTCTCGTGGCTGCCCATTCATTTATTTGACCGTGTCGTTTTTGGGCCTTGTGTTTGATGAATTTTGGATGAGGGTGTCTAGGAAAATATTACGGTACGTAATCTGCAACCTAAAAGTATATATACGTTTTTACACGCTAGGTTTCGTATCAAGTTAAGAAAATGTTATATTTCTAATTGGACAGAGATTGGATTGGAAGAACGTTATTGGTCGTATATTTCCTAAATCAAACCTTCTAGAACGTGTTCCAAAAATTATAGGACAACTTGAAACGGTCCATGCTCCTCACTACAGATTGTGGAGCTTACAGGTTGAAATGTAAAAAGTACCTTAACATCTGCCAATTCTGCGGCAGTTGCTTTTGTATTATGAAAAAAAGCTTTATTCAACCTCCCAAGTTTCAAGTTTTCCTAAAATACTGTTTTGACCAATAGAGAAGGATGCTTTAAATATTGAAATTAATATTAAAGGTTGATTATTTTTGGTTTTTGCCAAATTTCGATGGTGATGCATGTAAAATGACAAATGTCATTGTCTCTTTGATTTGAGAAAGTTGCGTTTGTAGAAATTTGGCAAATGTACCAAGCATAATAAGCCTCAGTAGCTTGTTGGATTTACCGAATTGTTTAGAAGATATAGGATTTAGATAGAACCGCAAGCCGTTACACGCTTCAAGCGACAGTATTTTTGGGTATTGCATTATGTGAAATACATGCAATTTCATCTTAAGTAAATGATTTTTCTCCGACTTATGCCTTGTGGCTAGTTAATTATATGCTTTGGTCTATCCGCAGCAGTTTCCGGGCGAACGTCCCTGCTATTTCATGACAAAATAATTTTACAGAAAATGTAAAAGGATAGCGTCATAAATGCCTGTTGTCTCAGTAGTGCCCAGCCCGTCTTTCAAAGAGGAGGTTATCAGGATTAAACCATCAAAGGGTAGTGAAAACTCTTAGCTTAAGCCTGGCCGGATTTATGCGTCCTCGGAATTTGAAGAAACCTTTCACAAACTACGTATTAGCCGCCCAGGGGAGGAAGCGAGAAATTGCTTAATAACAAAAATTACTATCTTTTGCTAAATTTTGCATGATTCAAAGTTTAGTTATTATATTGATACTAACAGTTTAACACTGTATATGTCAGTACTCTAGTATTTTATAGATAAAATACAAAAATTGCTAATTTTTTAAATGGGGGAGAGGTGTGACACATGCTTACCTATTACAGTAGGGTGGGGGTTCTCTCTGAAATATCCAAAATCCGGCTTACCTAATATATGAACAATAATAGGTTGTCATATGATGTTGTACAGCGCATACCCTATTGTCAAATTATTCAGAAAGTGTCGTTTAACATCATGTTCTCTGACACGTGCTGATTACGATTGATAGGAATGTAAAATTTTCAAGTATTTGCCCTAATTTTCCTAATTTTGGGGTGAGTGATTCTCAATCGACTATTGTGTGCTGACAGATCCATTTTAGGCGCTACTGAGACCGGGCAATATTAGGGACTATATTTTGAAAGTACAAAAACACCACATGGTTCCTTCATAAAGATATATTAGAAAATCCCTTAAATTATTATCGGTATTCGATTTTAAAATGAAAGCAATATTTTAGAATTGATCCTACGAAAACGGTTCAGTCTGATGCTATGTTCGGCCGAAATGGGTCCTTTTACAGAGAACAACATTCCGATAAATGAGGAATTTGAATTTTGAACCATTTTCGATTCACAAATATAATTAATTTTGAATTGCTTTAAAGTGCGATTTTGGCATTAAGCCGAGGTATTGTGAGATCAAACTTTGGCAATTATTTTCAACATTACACAATGTATTTGGTTGTTTTACTTTTACTGTTGCAATAAACGCTTGATAGAACATCCTAAGCCATAACTAAAAACGTGACGTTGACCTTATCAGTAATCTGATTACCTCTGTCTACGTTTCTAGGAGACTGAGGTCTACTAAAACCTCTCTTAAGTAAAAGAAGGCATTCCTTGATAAAAATCCTCTCCCAGGTTTAGGAATGTAATCGACATTTTTATGATGCAAGCTAGCACACAATCAACTAAACATATCCAGTGGCAGATTATTAATATATTGATATTATATTATACATTGTTGATACGCAGGAATATATTATGACAAAACCAATATCACGGCAACATAACTTGAACTAGTTAATTCGTTGGCATACGTTGCATGCCACTTTTCGATATTTGGGATACGTAACATGTATCAATTTATTCGGCAATTGCGGGCCATCCTGTTGTAGCGCGATGCGTTACTGTGCCGCGCCGCGCACTCAATAAGGCTTCTCACAGCGACATCTGGCTAGATCGGCGAGATGCGCTACTGTGCCGCGCCGAGCTGCCATGAACTGACATCGTCAATTAAGCCACCCTGTAGTTACTGTACTGGTGTTCTATCAAAACCACGGAGAACAGTATATATGATATATAGAACTTATCCACTCAATAGCCTGTGAGATTTAAAAAATAAAACTAGAAACTACTGACACTACTGGGCGGCGCTCAACCTGTCATTCCGCCGAATCTCTAAATCTAATGTTTATGAACATTATAGCCTGGGGTCACTGACACTGTAATTGTACTATTTACCTAGCTTCCTAGTCCATTTCTCACTCCTCTCAGGCGGAAAGCTTGAAAAGAGCGCCGCGCACAGGGATTGAGCCAGGTAATGAGGTAATTGTACTATATGACCATTAATTGACGATGTCAATTCCAAATTCTTCGCAGCTCGGCGAGGCCCAGTAACGCATTTCGCTGATTTAACGAAGGTTGCGGTCCAGTTATAACAATCAACAATGATTCAATTTCGGCTCATAATGATCAGGCCGCATAAAACGTAGAGAAAAGAGTTTTCCAGGGGGAAAAGGGAGGCAGGCCATAATTATAGATTAAATTACGTAATTTTGCTGTCAGCAGTCAGGAGGGGTTGGTTCTTGATTAAATTTGATTACGGAGGGGGGAGGGTGTAAAAATTGCTAAACTATTGATTATGTAATATGTGAACGACCCCATACAATTAAATAATGTCCTGCGCAATTATATTTATAATTTCACACTTGATTGACGCGGACGCGCGGACGATGTCAATTTTTCGTAGCTCGGCGTGGCCCAGTCAACCAGTGGTTGATGGTGCATTTTGTCAATCTTACGAAGTATAAAATTGGTTGTAAGTAAAGTGTAAGTAAAGTGGTTGGAAAAAGCTTGATACATGTTTTGTATCCTTCGAAAAGTGGCATGCAACGTATGTCAAGTAAAAGCATTGTTTGATGCGTGGTGAGGGGGGATTCCAGATTCGAAATCAGCGTCCAAAAATACACCGATCAAGATTATTTTTACACCCTCATGGCCTTATCGCAAGAATTTTCTTAAAATTTGGGCTTACCTTGGGACCTCAGGCTATAATGTTCATAAACATAGAGATTAGGCGGAATGACAGGCTGAGCGCGGCCCAGTAAATTTGGGCAAGCAATTAAGATGTTAGTGGGAGCGCGTTGCAATCTTTTTTCGCCTACGGCTGGGCGGCCGAAGTGCACGCTTCGCGTACGCACGAGAGAGTACAGGTATACAAGGAGAGATACACTAAAAAGAAAAGGTGTACAACTGACAACGTGTAACAATCATATAGGTAAGCAGCACATTTTTTGGAAACTCTACAGTTTAAATTTTAGCCATTTTATATTATCATATGTTTGATGTTTACGTACTTTAATATGATGTATAAACATAAAGTAAAATTAAATGGAATTGTAATTCAACTTGAAAAGTTATAAATAAAAGTTATTATTATAATTTTAGTTATTAATTACAAGTTTACAGACAGCGCCAATTCCTATGCGCGGCGCTTTTTTGTTTGGAGTTCATCGTGAAGAGAAACCAGCAAAAGACTAGTATTACACATTAGCTATGCAAAATATCAGTATGGTGCATTACGCGAAAAACCAATGACTAGAATCGAGCGCTGGTTTCTGTGAATCAAGAATTACTTTTTTCATGTCGCTATTGCTTGTGGTAAAGCAATCGTATGTTGTACATACTCGGTGCAATCAGTCCTTGGATGAGCCAAGGATGATTAAGGTTATACTGGCCTCACGTTGTAGGCCCGCCGCGCAAGAGTGCGTGGCTGTATCCAGTATCGTGGATACTGGATTTCGCCCCGATACTTCCACTAAGTAAAATGACAATGGGGGGTCACCACGTGATACAAGGTTATACGTGCATTTAACTGGAAGGAGATCTTATCAAAAGCTCCTGAAAACGATCCCTTCAGTACACTTAGATGGAGCGACCGTAAGTACATGCGGTAATCTGTCATGAATAGCTAATTCGTGAGGATCATGCTATTGGATGTGATGACACTAAAAATTTGTACAGTTTATGGTGCAGGAACATGGAACATTTACACCAATAGTCCTATCAACAACAGGTAGAATGGGAAGAGAAGCAAATACGTTCTTCAAAAAGTTAGCTGATAGAATGTCTAGAAAATCAGGCCAAAGATACAGTGAAGCGATGACTTTTATTATGAAAAGAATAAGATTTGACTCATAAAGAACGACAATTATTGCTCTTAGAGGAGAAAGAGGGATAAAAAGTGGCAGTATAGTTAAGATATCAGATTTAGATATTAATTTAGAGCCAACAAATTGAATTGGCTACTTTTACTACTACAACAAAGGGTTTTATGAAATTTTCTAAGATTTTTTATTGAATTTTTATATAGAATTTTATATAGGGTTATTGTTATATTATGTGTATATTGTTTGAATAATTTCCGTTTATGGTGCAGTACAGTGACACTTCGTTTTAAATTGATAATATGCTGATAATTTCGGGTGTCAACTACCTGATTTATTTGTCCCTAAGCTGGTTTAATAGAAATATGAGCATTAGTTGTTATTGATTTTAAAATTAATCTAGAAGAATTTAAAAAGACTAATAATTTAGTAGACACAGGCAACTTTTGGGAAGTGTCAAATATAGTTTTAGCAAAAATAGAGGGTGTAAATTATATCGAAAAGAAAAAGCAACAAGTCCAATATTTATATAAAAATCCGTGTGTTGCCAAGAGAAAGGGAATAAATATCTCATGAATTTGTTTTTATTTATTTATTTTTTAAATTAACGGTTTTTAACTTTTAAAACTTTTTTATATGTAAATAAATTACGACAATTATGTTAGTTATAGAATTTGTTTGTTTTTAAATGACGAAGGCTGTGAAATGTTCACAGTTCTGATAATGAGGAAATCAGAAAGAATGTTTAAAACTAGTGATGATGTTTATGTCATTATTCTTAATCTAATCTAATCTTAGTTATACGAAAGAAAGAATATTCAAACAATATACACATAACATAGCAATGGCCAATTGGCTGACTATAAGGTCATGGCCTGAACAAACAATTTTTTTTAATAGTCAAGTGATGCTAAAGCAGAGCACAAATGTGTAATAAGTTAATAGATAAAAATATCTAATCTTAGTTATTGATTTGTTTAAACAGCTTTCTGCTATACCAAATCACTAATTTGACAGTTGAAAATTGAAGGGAGGATAGGGATTTAAGGACAGGATGTATTTAATAATTTATTTCAATATATTGATAGTTGTGATGATCTTATGCATCATTATGTTCCGGTTTGATTTGATTTTATATTCGGCTCGTAGGCCTAACCCCTACAGCCAGTATAGTGGCACGGAGCACATTTGAACGAACATTCTTTGATGTCTGTGTTACCCACCCCAACTCACCCACATATGACAAAAAAGATATGGAACAGATCTATAAATCTCATGAAATGAGGAAAATGAAAAAGTACAACAACAGAATCATCCAGGTGGAAAAAGGCACCTTTACCCCACTTATATACTCAACAAATGGCAGATGGGGTGCACAAGCCACAAGATACCACAAGAGACTCGCTGAAAAACTATCCCAGAAGAGAGGAGAAGACTATGCGGCTATTATGTGTTACATGCGCACCAGGATTAGATTCTCAATCCTCAGGAGCACCCTGATAGCGGTCAGGGGTGAGAGAGGGAGACGGCAATCGTATACATTGCCAGTCAGTGTAACTTCGTTTAACTTGATACCTGCCACCATGGACTATGAATGTTTCTAGACACTATCTTTTTGATATTGAGATATTGGTATCTCAGATCACGTGTACATCGTTCCTTTTTTATGACACAGTAATTTATTGACACTCACAGCTATAATTTTAATCATTGAATCAGTATTTTTATCTGTGCTCTGCGTAATGCATCACATGAATCAGTTTTTTAATCTATTAACTTATTACACATTTGTGCTCTGAGCTGCTTTAGCATCACTTGACTATTTAAAAAAATTGTTTGTTCAGGCCATGACCTTATAGTCAGCCAATTGGCCATTGCTATATTATATGTATATTGTTTGAATATTCTTTAGTATAGTGGCACGGAGTGGTTTACGGTTACTTTAAGGACACATCTCAGGCCACCCCAACTCTGGGAGAAAAAAGGGGGCCCCCAACCCATGTAGGCAAGACACCTCACAGCAGCTCAGGTAGACCAAAGTGGCTCTTGCTTGTGAAAGGTGCATCAACTAACCGCCGAAGCCGTGGGTTAGGAGTCCCCCTGGGATCATTTCGTCCGTAAAAGTTTACATGATATAAAGCTACATTAAATTATCTATGAAATTTACATAAACAAACGAAGGAGACCTCATAGCTTGTCTTCTGAGGGATGAGATTGAAAGATACGTCATTCAGTCCAAGATGCTGGGCTTTTTGTCTTCCTCTGTGTCAGTGCTATGAGTGTGCTTCATAGCAGATCAAATCTGAATCGTGTTCTGATGTGATTTTTGACCTGGCTCTTAGCTTCTTTTTAGTGGTCAGCTATCATCTCAGAGATATGATCTATGAGCACAGTGCAGAGCGGTCCCATTCCTCCTGTTGTTGTAAAGACTAGTGGGACAAAGGACCCTTTCTCTGACTGAAGTACCCACTTCTCTAATATTTGATTTAAACATTATATAATACTATTTATATTCTATTAGAGTGTTCAAAACTCAAATATACACAAATGAGAGTGCTATGTATATGAACAAGTGAACTCCCAAACTAAACATTACGATCCTTGTAAGAACTGTTCTCTATTTAATGTTGGTGATTATATCATTTTGTGTATCAAATTTCATTTCATTTCTTTATTTAAAGAATTTTTTCGATTCATGGCATCTTTAATGAAACATTCTCCTAGATGTAAACCAGCTATCATCCTAATTTGTAACAACCATTACAAACACTAGGAGCTGATGTTTGGAGGTCGCAGTTTGGAGAAGGAGTCAGGTTGGAGTGACGACTCCTTATTACGAGTATCAGCTAGCAGTCAGCCTAATTTATATAATAATATTAACCCCTCACCATTACATCATACCCTTGTCGGCAGATCAACTCCCTATTCCCTTAGTTCAAACTTATCTAATTCAACAGGTCAGTGAACAACTAATGATATAGGCAAAACTATTATATTTAAATGGATGTTTGTTTTTATTCAATTGTTTGATTACGTATACCTTCAACCTATATGAAGCTGCTTAGGATATAATATTATAAACGATCTTTATAACTATGACGAACATATTTAAACCAAAATTATAATAATGTATCACAATATTGGGCTTTACGACTAAGAAACCTTTTACAGTTAATGTGGCACCCATTTCCATCCAACTGCCAATTGACAACTCTCGTCGTCCTATGTATTCCTGCAGCTTAATTCAATAGTACAAGTATGAACAGGACAAATCGTGGTTGTAATTTAGATTTAAATTATATTATATAGATAGAAAAGTATATAGTAGAAAAGAATTCAAACAATATGCACATAATATAGCAATCGCCATTGTCCAGTTATAAGATTTGACACCCCAAAATAAAAACCGATACAATGAATGCAATAACAAATAAAACGGTAGAAAATTTTAAAAACCATGGTAGAAAATAAACTGCAATATAATTTGATATTAAACAATATACACATAATATAACAATAACCCTATATAAAAATTCTATATAAAAATTTAATAAGAAATCTTAGAAAATTTCATAAAAACCCTTTGTTGTAGTAGTAAAAGTAGCCAATTCAATTTGTTGGCTCTAAATTAATATCTAAATCTGATATCTTAACTATACTACCACTTTTTATCCCTCTTTCTCCTCTAAGAGCAATAATTGTCGTTCTTTATAAGTCAAATCTTATTCTTTTCCTGATAAAAGTCATCGCTTCACTGTATCTTTGGCCTGATTTTCTAGACATTCTATCAGCTAACTTTTTGAAGAACGTATTTGCTTCTCTTCCCATTCCACCTGTTGTTGATAGGACTATTGGTGTAAATGTTCCATGTTCCACCTCGACAATCCTTTTGTTGTACATGTTTTTCTTCTGTCTCTCATGGCTAGTGTACATACTCATCGGAGACTAGATCCAAGAGCCTTATTGGAAGGAGCTTGAGCATGAAATAATCTTACATCTAAAAATGCCCTTTCCAATGGGTTCCATACACTCCTAGCACTAACATCTAACCTAGCTCCATCTGCTTTGTTGGCCCCTGCAGGAAGTTCTCTCCCATTGACAGGGATAAGGAGAGGTTCGGAGGTCACATTTTTTTAGCCAGCAGTTTCTAAGAGCTCTGCTAACACATCTCTCAATGAATTGTGGCGGAGAGATACATACCCACCCCTTTTGCATATTTTAATGAGTGGTTTATTGAGTTGTCACTTCCACATACACTTTTTCTTGCAGCATCTTTTATTCCAAAGTTGTACCTAAGGGCAGAACAGAATCCAAATGATTTGAGTGGGAGTGATGAAAGCCAGGAACTTGCCCCTTTCTCTGATGTAAGATCTAATTGCAATTTTTGGGTTTCATTCAGGTCTTTTGTTTAAATGGTGATCGATTTCACTCTACTGTGTACATCGGACATGAAAAAAAGCATGAAGTAATTGACTTAGTCAATAGTGGAGTAATAGACTTAGTCAATAGAGAGGTGAGCCACAGCGACAACCCATAACTTCCAGCAGGGGCCAATCAAATCTTCTATCCAATTTCTCACCTTGGCCTTCCTACTAATAACCTAAGGGAGTGCTTGAGTGACGAATTTATAATAAGGATGCGATGGTAGCACAGACCGTAAGGTCATTCACATTTCTGATAGATTTGATGCTAGTATGGTGTTGAGCATGTGCATGGCCGTTCGAGTCCGTTTGTAATATTGATCATCAGCTAATGATATTAATAAAAGGCCTACGAGTAAGACTGTAAAAACAATTCGTGGAATATTCTGTGTTGGCAAAGTGGTGTGCTCCCTTAATAATTCCTGAGGCACAGATATGTTGCAGTGTCTGCAGGGGCTGCGGGCGAGTCAATTTGAAGATAGAGCTGTATCATCTTGCTTCATGGTAGTGTGCCCAGTGTGATTTTTGGCTGGTATCACCTGCTCAGCAGATAGGCGTTTAACTGAGCTATCTGGCGATTTACCGTTTGAAACTGTTCAACTAATACCACAATAGTCTAGACAGTTGATCTCTGCTCATCGATCAAACAAATAGTCGAAACCTGAAATTGGGACCGATTTTAGATTATCATATTTAGCTATCAAATCCTGACTACTGATCTGAATCAGTAGTCAAGATTTATGGTCAATATTGGCAACTCAAACACGAAACTCGCCTAAACTGCATAACGTTATATTGGAGTGTTTATCTATCCTGTATTACTACGAGTAAGTCTGTAAAAACAAATCGTGGAATATTTCTGTGTTGGCAAAGTGGTGTGCTCCCTTTATTTATCTATATTCCACGATTTGTTTAACAATCTTACTCGTAGTAATACATAAAACAAATATTTAATAAAACAAATATTTATTTTTACGGCACAATCAAACAATATCAATAATAAATAAATCAGGGGAGGTTTGAAGTGCCGAAGGCCACTGCTTATCTTTGGATTTGAGAGTGACCTGTGCTTGAAACCCCCTCAACCATCCACTACGTCAATATACTTATTATACAAATGTAGAAAAATATAATAATCTAAAATTGGTTATTTGTCTAGTTTGGTGACACAGGAGAGCCCAGTTGAGTTTTAGTTTAGGTTTAAATTTTAAATCATAGTTTAAAAGGTTAGCCATGTTACATGTAACATGGCAGAGAGAGATATCATGAGTGCAGAGCCGTACCGGATGTAGGATTCGAGATATAGTATAGATTAGTTACCATGTATTAGGATCATCTCGATTTTGGAGGGATAGCAAGTGCTTTTTAAGGTTGGATTTAATAATACCTGACGAGGCTGATAAGTCTGAATTTTTGGAAGAACCCGGGATTATTATCCCATCTTCGTTAGCATCACATATTTCGAATACATAGGGGATGAGATCATTCCAAATTTTCGCAGAGGTGTACAAAAAGTTCTGTTGGGAGATATCTAACCTCAGTAATGGGACGATCAGACGAAGTCTTTCATTTCTAGGACAGAACTTGAAAAGATCTTTAATCGACTGGGGGACATCAAATTTAAGATAGTTTAAATAGTTTCATAAATGTATGATACATGTGCAGATTCTCCAGGTTCATAATTTTCTGCTCAGTAAACAGCGGTTTAGTGTGTTCAAGACAGTAGTTCTTGCCAGCCATATGTTATTGGTTCATTGGTTCAATGTTGGCAAAGTGGTGTGATCCCTTAATAATTTCTCAGGCACAAATATGTTGCAGTTTCTGCAGGGGCTGCGGCTCCTACAAGAACTCCGAGCGAGTCAATTTGAAGATAGAGCTGTATCATCTTGCTTCATGGTAGTGTGATTTGTGGCTGCTATCACCTGCTCAGCAGATTGGTGTTTAACTGAGCTGAGAGAAGCAAGTTAGAGTTTAGTACGAATGTTCCCGAATATTCCCAGGCAACAACATTTATCGGAATGAAATGAATTTTTCTCCGGTTTATTTAAAAACCGTTTAGAATAGAGGGAAGTAACCGGCCAATCACAAGAAGCCGAAGGATCTCAGAAGGCCAGTGATGGTTATAAGCTAGTGCGTACCAGACTGTCTCCATTGTTCGCCCCAAGGCTATGGTTAAGCTAGTGCGTGTAGCTCCATATTTAACCTTCCATCACAGTCTCCTGATCATTCGGCTGAGTGGACCGCTCCGACAGGAAACCGGAACATTGCACCACCATTCCTTCGTCACAAGTTCCTTCGAACTGTAGATTTGTCAGATTCACGTACAAAACTTGAGACGAGCAACAGAGCTAGAGAAAAGAATTTCGTTACTATTAATATTTGCTATATAAAGGCGGTATAATGACAGATGCTTTAATTAACCGCATGAGATCCTGTTAAAGTTATATATTTGCTCTTTGCATTTTCATTTTCCACAGCTGCAACCGCTTGCATGTGAAGAAGTCATTAAGTCACAATGCAATGGTCTTCCGGTTACAGTAACATAATAACCTAGATTCTATGTGACTGATGAACAGGAGACTCATTATTTGTATGTTGTAAAGTAAGTAATATGAAGATACATATACTAGGTCGTTTTTGATATTTGTAAAGGTTTCATTACGAGTTATGAAATGGTTAATGATTTTTTATTTCATCATAGGTCACCTCAGTCCAATTCTCAACATTAGGTGGCTCGTATTATAACCAACGATTAAAAGATAAAATGTGCAGGAGATGTGAGGCTGAACTATTTACTTATCGAATAGACTTTATATACTGTCTAAATGGACTATATTGGACACGTTTTAAGGATTAAAGGCTACCTGGAAACACCTCTGCAGTCTGTATCTTATAAATGGTTCTTCAACATTTGCTTGAAACAGTAACTAGTATCAGTGATGCATCTTAATATCAGTGGAAGAAAGTCCCATGTCTTGAGAAACGTCATCAACTTTGGGCTTTTTATTCCTTGGTTTCTTGAGCATGAAATGATCGCCCGGTTTCTTCGTCATGCAAAGATCGTTACAGTAATCTAGCTTTGAAATAACCAGTGCAGTTATTTGACCATCATCAATTTAAAACTATCCAGATAGTGTCCGATAGTTCCTAGATTCATCATTGTCCAGCTACGTTTCTTCTTCACACTATTGATTTGTTTTTCCAAACGAAGGGTTTCGTCAAATTTAACTCCTAGACTTAAAAAATTTAAGATTTCAACAGATTTGAATTTCTTAAGAGGTGTTACTTAAGAAATGTGTTTACCATACCCTGACATAATTCTGACGATGCTAACAGTTTAATTTTGTCTACGCTTATGTGCACATTGTCTTCAACTTGAACAGATGCAGATGGTGATTTACTGTATGATTACTATGAAACTGTTCAACGAATACCTCCATAGTATAGACAGTTGATCTCTGCTCATCGATCAAACGAACGGTCGAAACCTGAAATCTTGACTAGTACTGATTTGAATCAGTAGTCAAGATTTATGGTCGGGTTGTCATTGGCAACTCAAACACGAAACTCGCCTAAACTGCATTTATATAACGTTATATTGGAGTGTTTATCTATTCTGTATTCTGTATTACCGATCCTTATTTGCCGTCTTCACTGTAAAATCCAAGTTCAAGTGACTATTATATCGTAGAGTGAGGGTTAAATTTGATATTTCGTTCTAGAAAGAGCTCAGCTCCTGATGAATTAACCTCTTACATGCTGATTCAGACCTATCGAATGTACAAAGCAATAACTAAACTCAATCGCTATATATATTTTGTTCGGGGATGTTCGCTCTTTCTCTTCGTCTAGGATGCTATACCTACTTACTACTCATGTTTGATGTATGCGGCAGTGGCTTGTAAGTGGCGAGATTGTGTCTACATTATTTTAACCGAGCCACTAGCTTCCATTGAACTCATGAGGATTTGGGAATAATGAGCGGCCTTTTCATATGTACTTGATACTTCATTCGTTGAGCGCGAGCTGTAGCTGTTTACCTTATTTCAGAGATAAGAAGAAAAAACTGTAAGCTACGAAATTAGGAAAAATGTTCTAGAACTTTATTAAATTTTAATTTCCGTGTTTCTCAATTTCCTGCTCCTTAATTTCATGGTTTCTCAAATACGAGACTTTCTGGAATTTCATGAAATAAGGCACCTGCGAAAGTGTAACTTCACCGTCAAATATTATCACATTGCTCACTCGGCACCCAGACCATGAATTATTGAAATAAATTTCAGAATTATTCATTTAGACCAGCTTTAGACAAGGTTAATAGTTAATAGTTAATAGTACGGTGAGAGATAGTAGGTGAGAGATAGTAGGTTCTAAAACTGTACAAATCATCATTCATGGACTGTGCTTGGACCAGGGCCAGCATATACAGAATTAAAGAGTTGCTGGATTCTATAAGATTATAAACACGCTCATTAGTCTGCAAAATTATCAAGCGATACGTCTGTAAACATAAATTATGAAACTTCGCTAGTGTGTTGTGAAGCTGTTTTCTAAAAGTGAGGATTAAGGAAACGCATTCAAAATTAATTAACGTGATTTCCAAATACAGCGATTGAACTTCCTACAAAACATTGCATCTCTCATCGTAAGTAGGAAATATGACGTCAGGTGGTTCCACTTAGTAACTTTATTTCTCGATTAAGTGGTAAGTAAATTACAAACAAACAAGAACATGAACATCGCTATCACAATTATTACTTAAGATTTGTGACTTTAAAGTACCATTTCCTGGAACTAGAATAAATTTCTTAGAAGCAGTTATTAATGGATTCTCTTTCTCAAATCGTACGCTACATACACCGCTTAATACTCGACAGATTGCTGTTTCTCGATGGTTGGCGGAGCGAATCCTTTACGGACTATTAGTATTAGTTATTTAGTCGGCTTACCATCTCGAAGGAGCCAAGCTGTCACATCTTCAGTGGTTATAGATGGTTATATATTAAGATGAAATATTAAGCTAACCAATCTGCATGATTATAACTGCAGTGGAATAGTTCAATATTTCATTTCTCAAATAAAACTCAGGAATTAAGGCATGCTAGAAGTTTGATTTGTATTGTAAATCTGACTTTAATCGCCAAAGTTAGAGGTCTTTGTAGTTTGTCTAAGAAGACAGATCAGCAAAAGTTAAATACTAAATAGTCTAACAGTCATATAGTTACTGGGTATACGGTATATTACAGCAACCAGAACATCTTACAAGAAGGCTTATGCCGCGCCATGCTTTCTCTTGAGGCTTCGCTAAGTTTTCAGAAAAAAATATGTCTAACGAAGAATTGGTTCGATCATGAGGCGCTCTTGTAAACTAAAATCAACTCGACGAACCAAGCTTGATTAGCACCGTGATACTTAAATCATATAATATTTGAAACTATTTTAGCGAGTAATACCTTCTAGTCCAGTCATTTACGGACATTTTTGGGTTAGTACCTGCAAATTTTCAGATACCCACGAAACTTTGCACAGACCTTCCCAAAGGTATGATAAAACGATTTTCGGTTGGAGACATTTTTTTTACTTTGGGCAAAACCCAGGAGGGCCACGCCCATCTGACCCAATAACGTAACTGACCCCTTGCTTCTGAAGGTCGTAGAGACTTCAAAATAGGCTTAAACGAAGCCGCATATGCATGTTCATATAAGAGTTATTGATCAACACATTGCCTAAAATCCTTACTTTTCGAGAAATTCGCCAAAAACCATTTTGGGCGTGGCGCTGAGCCGATTTTACTAACTTTTGATAGGATTGTGATAGAGTCTTTGGATAGAGTGCAAAAGAACCGCAATTGGCATATTTATATATGACTTACGAAGAAACATATGCCTTAAAGTGCTTACTTTTTCAGTTATTGGCGAAAAACTGATTTTCGGTTCCAGAAATCATGCAAAAATATAGGTATGTGGTACATTGGGCTATGAAGGCCTTAGAGATTTTTGAATGAGTGCAAATTGTGCAGAATGGCCATGTTTATATACAACTTATGAAGCAACATGCACCCTAAAATGCTTACTTTTCGAGTTATTTGGGGGAAAAACAGAGAAAATTTGCACAAAATAGAGCAAAATTGGTTATATCAGCCATTTTTGCCTCCCGTTCTATGTTAATAACTCGAAAAGTAAGCATTTTAGGGTGCATGTTGCTTCATAAGTTGTATATAAACATGGCCATTCTGCACAATGTGCACTTATTCAAAAATCTCTAGGGCCTTCATAGCCCAATTTACCACATACCCATATTTTTGCATGATTTCTGGAACCGAAAATCAGTTTTTCGCCAATAACTTAAAAAGTAAGCACTTTAAGGCATATGTTTCTTCGTAAGTCATATATAAATATGCCAATTGCGGTTCTTTTGCACTCTATCCAAAGACTCTATCACAATCCTATCAAAAGTTAGTAAAATCGGCTCAGTGCCACGCCCAAAATGGTTTTTGGCGAATTTCTCGAAAAGTAAGGATTTTAGGCAATGTGTTGATCAATAACTCTTATATAAACATGCATATGCGGCTTCGTTTAAGCCTATTTTGAAGTCTCTACGACCATCAGAAGCAAGGGGTCAGTTACGTTATTGGGTCAATATGGGCGTGGCCCTCCTGGGTTTTGCCCAAAGTAAAAAAAATGTCTCCAACCGAAAATCGTTTATTCATACCTTTGGGAAGGTCTGTGCAAAGTTTCGTGGGTATCTGAAAATTTGCAGGCACATGTCCATAAATGACTGGGCTATTCTTGGTAATAACTTATTGTTATTTTGCGATGTTTAGTGTTTACTGTTTACCTCCTATACTCTCATTTTCCTGGCTTTAAAAGGGATGATTGCCATGAAGGCCACTGTGTTGCCAAGTGCCAACGCTTTAGCACAGGCCTATAGTCACTAGTCAGGCGGTAACGTACCGTTTTAGATAATTATATTAATGATTGGTCCGCATCAGAATCCACTCTGCCAAAAAATTGATGGTATCAAATATCAATCATAAACAGAATGTCTATTGTCTAATCATTATATGAAACAACGTGACATAAACGCAAATGTTTACAAATAATTGCCCGCACCGCGCCATAAACATACCATCCTTTTTAGATTAACGATCCTAAAGGAAGTTTTATTTCATGTCTTACAAGCAGTATAATGATCCTAACAGAAGTTTTATTTCAGGTCTTACGAGCAGTATGAGTTCACCTAGTTTACAGAGTTTAGGTCAGTCTCGGAGCAGTTCACAGCTCTACGGTGGATCTAACGGCAACAGCAACATGAGCACTTCCTTGTCATCGAGCAGATTAAATTCCTTTTCAACGGGACTTGGTCAAAGTAGTACTAATTCAAGTTTAGGACTCAGTTCAGCAAATCGAGGACTAAATCAACCGAGTGGTCTTACGAATGGCTTCCCGTCCCACCAAACGAATCCAAGTTCCAATCTGAACTCTAAGTTTTCTCCCGGTTTGGGTGGCAATAGTTTATCATCGAATTTCGGAAGCAACTCGTTTGGGTCCAATTTCGGCAATAATATAATGAATATATTGGGTAGTGGATCAACCTCGCCCTCGTCTGTTGGATCATTCGGAGCAACGTCAAATACTCAGGGAACCTCACACATATTCGGGTCACAGCAGCCAAGCCAAGGTTCGTCCCATCTGTTTGGGTCAGGGTTATCAAACAACTCGGGTCCTTATTCCTCTCAATTTAACAACATTCCTAACAACAACTCCTACTCTTCGTTTAATACTGGCGTCTTTTCTCCGTCACTGGACTTAAACAACCCTACGTCAGAAAGTCTTGATTTATCTGAATTCCCGTCCCTACAAGCCCCAGCTAAACAGCTAAGCAACCTGAGGTTGGACACGGCTAACGGACTACCAGGCATGGGCAGCCACAAAGTTTCCGGTTTCAATCTGAATGCGGCCAACGGTCCCTTCTCTGCAAACATCACGGGCAACAAGACATACTCTGAAGTGTCCAACACTAATTTAACTGGTCAAGCCAAGCAAGACAACTCACCAGGCTTCCAAATATCCCATGAAGATTTCCCCGCTTTACCAGGAGCCCCCAAAAATCCGCACCCACTTCCTACACAGCAAGTGCTTCCCAACGACATCATGGCACAAGTGGCCCCCAACCCTCAGCAGGAGGTGAAGCAAAGTTCTATCGTGATGATGGTTAATAAACCGTCTAAAAGTATAGTTCTGCCCACATTTCCTCCTTCAATGTGCAAGGATCAATTCGGAATGGCTGGTCTGCTGGCATTCATCAGGTCGAAAGATTCCTGTCCAAACTTGATAAAGTTTGCCCTGGGTATGGACTTGTGTGATTTAGGACTGAACCTGCAGAGCAAAGGCAAGCTGCACAGCACCTTTCAATCACCGTGGGCAGATAGACCGTGTGGCCTGCACCAGCTGGAGCAAAACGTCCCGCCAGACTATCGGCGACTACACGTCCGTTTGAATATCAACATGATCGACCGGATCAAGAAATACGGGGACGACCTGCTTTTCTGGCTGTACTACAACAACATTGGGACAACGATACAGCTTCTCGCCATCCAGGAGCTCCAGAATAGGGGCTGGATGTATTACATTCCCGAGAAGATCTGGATCACCAAGGCACTTGGCAAGGAGGCTCCCAAAGGCTCTTATGGGGTGTATTGTTGGTTCGACGTGGCGAACTGGAAGAAGTCCGAAAAGGAAATGAGTTTGGAGCCGGACAAAATCGAATTTTGTGAACAATCCAAGCCACATTTCCGACTCTGACACATTGACTATTTGGTCGCATTGCTATAGAGGTTTTTGTAGTATAATATAAGTGTACAGATCTACCCAATATCTCTTCGTATTTGTACCTGATAGTACACAACTTTGTACATGGCACGGAGTATTGTAATTAGTGTACAGTACAGTCTACAGGTGCGTCGCGTACCTCTGACCCCACACATTCGCATCTTGCTGTTCCCCAATTAACTAGAATGTGATCACACCTGAAACCATTCATAATGAAATGTCGTCTGTATGTAATATCCAACCATCATGTTCTTGTCCAGTTATATGCATGCACTCAAACCAGCACATTACAACATTGAGTGTGCTTTAAAACGAAATATTCTCAAAATGTTCTCGTTAACTGGTGCAGTATTATTCAGGTCGTACACTGCAGAGTACATTGCACGCTATCTGAAAACAACCGCCATCTAATGCACATTGTAGTGTACATTGTGTATTGTGTGCTGTAGTCTGTACTGTACACTTATTATATTGCTCTCAGTTGCGTATAAGAGAATTGTGTACGCTATCAAGTTAAATACGGTCCCAGATCATCTCAGATTTGAAAAGGTTTTCATCAAAATATATGCAATGATCACACTAAATATGATAGTATACAGGACGCCTAATTAAGGAGATTTAATTGTTCGTTATTTTGCTCTCATTTATAAAACTTTTTAATACTTTTTACAGTGTGTAAATTTGTTTCCCATAAGGTTTTATCCTTAGTAGTCTAAACGAATAACGCACTATTAAATTGATAATTTGTTTATGTATAGACGTCCAGTAACAATATAATGTTATTAATTTTACCTTCAATAATTTGTGCTTCTTTTTGGATTTTGTGGATCATTCTTCACGTAGCGGGCATAATTTGAAGCTTGAAACATTTGTTTTTGATTGATTATATTGAACTTTGAGAATGACAAATATGCTTGCTCTTACTTTTTTCAGACTGCAAATCAAATCGAAACTCTTCAAATGAACATACTTCAAATATATTTAAAATTCCCAAAGTTTATCTGGTTAATCATGTACTATGTTTCAAGCGGCGCTATCACTTAATTAATAAGTTAGTTGGATATCGAAAGGTTATCTTCTGTAGATTTCAAATTAACTTTTACTTGAGCAGGGATGAGCTTATTGAGCTATGCACCGTTCACTTTTCGTTGCCTTGGCAACTTGTAATAGAATTTTATTTTGCTTTTCAAATGGAGATGAACCGTTTTATATAAATTATCTGAGTTCTATTGTTTGAATTCAATCCTAAACGTCTGCTTAGCAGATATTTTGTACCCACGAAATGACACAGAACAAGATAAAAGCTTCCGGCGATGCTTTAAGACACAAATACCCTGTAATTGATCAAACTTTAGTCAAAGTAAATGGATGCCTAGTGCACTGTATACACTTGGGCAAGATTCATGGTTGTATGCTCAGTATACATGGAGTCACAAATATAAATAAATGTATTGCCATGAGTATTGAGTATGGTTTGAGGTGTTTCTTTGTTAGGCTACTATGTATAACTGTTAAAACTTCTGAAGTGCCATTATTTACCAGCTGCCCTGCTTGACGAATCTTGGTCATGGACAGAGTTAGGCTGTGCATGATATTGTAGTATGGATGAAGAGGAGCATACTACTTCGTTGTGGCTGTTGAGTCACGTCCTGAGCCTCATGAGACCCCATTTCGCAACGCAAATTAGCCCCAATAGAGGACCAAAGCTTAGGCATTCCGAGTTTCCCTTTATTGTAAGTACACACGTAGTCAGCATTCGGATTTTGAGCCGCGCACGTACGCACATCCGGACGTAGCTCTCGCTCTGCCTATTGATTTATTGCAACCGTGTGTTATTTATATCTAACTGCAGTGAAACTTCAGTAGCCATGATAAGTATGGTCGATTTAAGATCACTCGGATGTTTTCGATTCATAGATAAAGAAACTTAATGTGTAACTACTAACAGTAGCTATATGGATGTGTTTTCTTGGGTAAATTTCTATTGATCCCGTTTGATGCAACAGGGAAAAGGCTCTTATCAGGAAAGGATAATAATAATCTCTTTCCTGATAAGGGCCTAAATAATATTCTAATCCGGATTTTACACAGCTATATAGACGGTAGTAATTCCCCGTGACGATCTATCCTGCGCAAGGATTAATGGTCGTATGTTCAGATTGCCATCTTGAAGGACCAGCAGAAAAATGTTGGTCGTATGAAATAAGAATAATACTAGGAAACCCTACTGGCCATCGAGTCTTGGAAAAGTTCATGAGTTTAGCTGGTACATGACTTGGTGTCGAGAAGATACAAGACTGTCCGAACATCGATCCAACTAGTCATGTCTACCTCTAGTGATGAGTGGCGGCTTTATTCATAAACTTTCGCCATTTAGTCAACTTTGTTAGTTGAAGTGTTGAAACACAGCAGCTTACAGATATATCATCTAGAACGCAAATTTGTTGTTAAGAAGCATGGTGACAGGCACATATACAAACAATTTGATGTAAACCGCATTTGGCATTGTTTCAACACAGATTAATTTAACAAATTAAGTTGCAGACAGAAATAACGGGCGATTTACACGTAAAATATAAAAAATGCAAGTGCAAAATATTTTTAACTGATAACGCCCACAGAAATTGCAAACAGACTGCCAACTTATTAAGTAAAACTTATATTATTTATTAGTACGATGATGCAATCCTTCAATCAACAAGTTTGCTTGTTAATTGCCCTAATTGGATTGCAAGCGTCTATTATTTAATTGCAGACAGGCGACCCAATTTCCCTGCATTTACGTTGATTTTCAACACAATCTGAATTCTGAATCAAATATATTCTACTTCAGTCCCATTGTGCCCATTATAAAGAAACATTCTTATATTTTGACCTAAAAATGATGCCTATTTCGCTCAACTTTTGGTCAAATGGGCAGGGGCATTGATAGGGTTGCCCCCTAAATATTTGAATAAGATAGCAGAAAAAAAGTTTGCACAGATTTGATTCAAGAAACTGAATCTTCCGTCATCTGACCATTTGCTTGATTATAATGATATTATAGGACCATCTTATAAAAGTCGTTTAGTTCATTTGTTATCATCGTTGGTCGTATGATATCTGTAAACTTAAATGATATCATCCCAGTTAAATTTAAACTTGAAAGATCATTACATTCCACCTAGATGTTTCAGCACTTTATACCTAGCACAACTCGTGGATTATACCATAATTGGAGGCTCTAAATTCATTTCCCAGTATTAGGGAGAAAATGCACCATTAGCCATAGTACTAAGTACATACTACACCGAGCACATATCCTTCGGTTGAGTTCTGACTCATGTTTGATATAACTCATCTTTGGCTTAATAGTGAGTACCGGATACCTTTGTATTCGTTGTCTGACTCAGCCAAAGTTGAAAGGTTATGGAATAAACCTGAGACCATCGAACGTTTTTTCAATTCCAAATGTACCTTGGGTCCAGCGACCAGCTGCGTTGACTTTCAGGGGATTGAACCTGCTCCGGCGCAAGGTATCAAATATCAATATCATTACATAGTTGGTCCTGCTACATGCTAGCTGGCGGTCCAGCAAAAGAGATATTTACAATTATATTGTCGTTCACATGTTACGTAATCACTTTTTGGAGAAATCCCTCCCTTCGTAATCAGTTTTACACATAATTAATATTATTGTGTCAAAATGACACAAGCGTATTATCATTTGGAAAGCCCCTCCCAGTGATAACGTAATCTGTGAACGACTGCGACCCCATATCACATAATATGACAATCTGAATCTGTAGCTAGGAGGTAGCTAAGGTATCTGGACTGACTGACATGATTATCAATCTATTCTTTAAATTAACATTGTTAATTGTATTGGTCATATTGGCTCCTGCTGGATCTCTCGCAACTCCACTTGGCTACACTGAATTCTGCGGCGAAGTCAATCTTCTTGCGCTCAGCTAGTGTCGATTGTTTTGTTGGATTCCCAGTGTACAGGGTATTTCAATTTACTGAATCACCAAAATGTAGCCAATTTCGGCTGAACTTGAAGTTGGTTTTGTAGGTTTACAACCTACCAGGACGCGCGCCGAGTTGGACTCGTCGAACAGATATTTTACGAGTATCACCCGTTAAAGTTGGTTTGAAGGACTTCAACACGCCGCGCGAACTATTATTAGTGCTTCGATCGAAGATCTCATTGCACTTGCAGATTGCATTGATGGGTTGACATCGTCAATCAAAAGTTGGTTAATACGTTTACTGGGCAGCGCTCAGCTTGTCATTGACATTCCGCCCAATTTTTAATCTGTTTTAATGAACAGAAAAAGCCTGAGGTACATCCCCATGCACCCCAGGTAATTTTACGAGTTGGTGACTAGGGGTCGTTCACATATTACGTATTCGTAATCAGCCGAAGGGGGGGGGGGGGGGGTTTCCAAATGCTTAAAAAAATTTCATTTTGGTTACCACATACCAATTTTCGGATGATAATTAATCACTCTACACTCGACTGTCACGTGACTTTTTCAACCCGTTCTCTAGCTGGTCCTGAACGACTATTCGAAACCCTAACCCTCTTATCTGATCCCAACCCTAACCCTAACCCAATCCTTAACAAAAGCATATGCTGAAACCCTAACCCTAACGAGAAATTAGACTAACTTCCTTATACGGTCATATCACGTGATCGAGACAGTTTTTCGCCTATATCTCGTCAGGGGAGCATTTTAACCCTATGTCATGTGGGGTGATTCGGAATCAGCGTCTGAAAATACATCGATTGAAGTTGCTTTCAACTGTCGGGGGCCCTTTTAGAACAATCGCGAAGATCGACTGTAGAGTGATTTAGTACGCTCGCCAATTTTCGTAATATCAATTGCAAATTGGACAATTTTTGATCCAATTCCAGTCAATTTCAATCATAAACATAGTGATTCACAGGAATCGATAGGATATCTTGTTGACCATTGTTAATGGTCTGGCCCGGCGCGCGCTTGACATACGTTGCATGCCACTTTTCGCATGTATCATCGGGCCACTAACATTTCGAGAAGAAAGCGGCGCGCGCTACTTCGAAGAAATTTAGACGAGTAACATCCGTCAAATATCTTGTTAAAGTATCAGTACTAGTAGTTTAGGAAGTGCTTCACGATTATTTAATTAATTTCCGTTATGCGATAGTTTTTTAGAATTAAACAAATTTATGGCTTTTTCAAACATGAACATGCAATAGATAGTAATAAAATTAAATCAACAACAAAATTACACAATATCTATACGTTTACAATTACTGTCACCAAGATGTAAATCAGATCGAACGAGAAATTAGATCGAACCAGTTCGATCTAGGAATTAGATCGAACGCGCGGCGCGGCTTTCAATGTATTTGTATATGTATCTCGCGCCAGCGTTCGATCTAATTCCTAGATCGAACTGGTTCGATCTAATTTCTCGTTCGATCTGATTTACATCTTGATGACAGTTAAGATTAAGATTAAGAACATAAAGCCCTTTCAAAGGTCAGGTTTAAGCTGTGCCTAACCATTTAAGTTCTGTGCATAAAACGCCTTAAAGAAACGAATTGCAAAACCATTATTTCAATAATTAAAATTTTAAAGGTACAAAAATTGATTTGATGTACACCAATATTTATCATTACGTGAAGCTGCAAGATTTCTCTCACCAATTGCTAGCATGTTATCAAGCACAAAATCAATCTTCAATAAGACTTGACCAAATGTAATTACAACAAACAAAACTTGATCAGATTTTACAAAACTTTCAAACCATGACACTCGGTTATGAACCACCTTTCATTTTCGCGATTTTCTTTCCTTGCCATCATTCCACCCTGCGACTATTCTCACGAACAGTTTTCTTCACCGGTGTCAGGGTACAGGATATAAAGTGTCTCTTCCCATCAACTGTGCCACTGAAGGGTTTATCTGTACCATGTAGAACGTCCAGAAATGCCATTGTACCGTACCAAGATGTTAACCTGGGGGAATAGTTATGTAATATTAATATGATCATCAATACTGGTCAAGGCTACGAAGTACGAACCCGATAAGCATAGATTGTTTTACAGGTTATTGGTATGGAATGAAATCCAATTAATGATCTCTAACGTTTTGTGATGATAGTCGTGTCCCTCAGCACTGTAGAGGAAAGGAAGGTGATATCCGCTGTGCTCTACAGTTGTGTTAAACAGTACCAAGAGTGACCTAAAAAGTAAGAAGAGTATGAGTATTGAGTATCAAGTATGGGGAACAAATTCACTTTGTTGTTATAAAATAGGGCTACAATTTAGCCTAAAGGTCATTACCAGAACTAGACGCATTATTACAATGTAAGCATATTACAATGTTCCTTGCCATAATACAATAGTAATACTAGCTGCTTACCAAATCCATACCACAAAGAGATGAGACCTGAAGATGTAAGGACCTGCTGCTGCTGGGAGGATGCTTCCAAGGATATGCTCAACAGTTCCAGTGTGAGACGATACGATGCTCATGGGGGCCGTCCATTCGTGATGCTTCTTATGGTATTTGTAGAACCGAGGCATGTGTAGTATCCTGCATAATGAGAAAATTTTATCTGGAGCAATAAGAACAGAATCTGTATTATAGACAATTTATACCATATAATACTTCTTTATGTTCCAGTTCAGGGCAGAAATAAATGTAGCAAAAACAAGTAAAAGATACTGCACAGTGGACAATGGACACACCCAGCAGAATTATTTGTATAGAAGCTCAAACCTATGTCCGTAGTAATTGCCCAACTCCTCGATGATCTTAAATGCCCAGATCTGGAGAACAAGTTCCCCAAATGTTGGTAACAGACCAGTGGAGCGCAGTGAGCCCAACCATCTCGTGTTCGGGTAATACATTACAGTTATAAACAAAAAGTTTAGAACTGAAATGTTGTACAGTGCCGTTTTAAATGTATCCAGAACTTTCTCCCTGTCTGCCTGCGGTTGGAGTTAGAGGTTTTAAAGATACTTTTTGCAAAAAATTGGAAACTTTTTTAGGTTACTTAAGTTAGAATCCATATTTCTATTTTTAAAGCGAATTTCGAACTGCTAATCACAGGGAACATGTAGTTTAAAGCCTAAATTTACAAAGTGGATACATTTGTTCGCGATCTCAGATGAACATTTTTTCTTTGTGAAACACAGATATTTATTTTTAAAATGTGTTTTTAATCAAGTTCAGCATTGGCCATGACGACATTTAAAAATTCAAATATTAATTCAGAAGATATTAGCCACTTACAGGATTGTTCTTTTCCTCTTGAATCTTATACTTGTACAGCCACTGTGGACGGCCAGTATAGTCAACTACCAAAAAGAAATAATTAAGTGACAGCCAACATAGCACTCCCCAAATGGTAGTCCCCACAGTTTGGATCAGGAAGCTGTTCTCATTAAACAAATCCTTCCATATCATTCTCCAGATCTGCTCAGCAGCGTCTTTCAATGAGTCCATCATCTGCCATGTCACACTGAAATTTAGCTGTGTCATTCCAGTAGAATCCAGAAATACTGATTAGTGTGAAAACTGAAAAGCAAACAATATGATGGTCACAATGTTACATACATAAATACAAAACTGACATATATTATGTAATACGTTTACTTGTATGTTTATAACCTACCAGGACGCGCGCCGAGTTGGTCTCGTCGACGGAACAAATATTTTACGAGTATCACCCGTTAATACGTATACTTACTGCCACTTGGAATTGCATAACAACAATATGATAACAGATCTAAAGTAAAATGTAATGTTTTATGATGCCACACCTAATATTAGTAATATGTATAATTTATAACCTGGTTTTGTCACAGAATGAGAGCCACACTTGAAACAGAGCAGAGCAGAGCAGGATCAGTATCCCAGCTACGTTGGTGTCCCATATCAGCTTTATGCGGCAATACTCCATTTCCTTTTAATACTAAAAATACTAATGAATAGAAGTTATAAAGTTAAAATACTTGTAATCTTATCTAATATAAGGCTCATCATGATTTGTTAATAATCTACTTCGAATGTACGTGACTAAAGTCAAAATGAGGAGTAAGTAAAAGAGTGCAGATTTATATATTTAATTGTATTTATCATTGTTTCCGGTAGATACTACTGCCCGGTGTGGAACCCTGACGAGATCAGTGATATAGAAGCTATTGAAAGCATCCAAGTCCAACGACACTACACTCGTCGAATCAGTGGCTGCCAGAACCTTGATTACTGGGAACGCCTGCAGAACCTGAATCTTCTCTCGTTGCAGAGAACGATACATCATAATCCATACATGGAAGATGATGAATGGACTAGCTCTGAACGACATCAACATGCAGTTCAAGGAAAGCTCCTGGCACGGTGTAAAGATACAATTGTACTAGTCAATGTAGTAGGTAACAAGAAAACACGTAAGGTATTTGTTTAACTAATACATACGTTTGTTTAATTCGATCTCTTATCTGCTTTCTTATCTCGCCTTGTTTAACGGCGAATTTTTGTGCCTCTCACATTGTATTACTAGTTTAGCCTAATAGCTTTACATATCATGGCAGCTGTGGACGACACGGAGATTGACAGTATTCTGTTTAAAGCTGACGATTGGATGGCAAAGGTTATGAATCAGTTCGGTTGTGAAGCACCAGTTGACATGACTTCTGTATTGTGCAAACATTTTTTGATTAGAAGGTCATTAAATTTAGAGGATAAAGAAAAGTTTGCAGCGTCAGAATGATTCTCACTCAGAATCGTTTCATTTGGTTCGCTTTCAAAATGACAAGTTAAAGAAGATTAAAAACGGACTGAGCTCGGGTGATACTCGTAAAATATCTGTTCCATATATTGGACCGTCGACGAGTCCAACTCGGCGCGCGTCATGGTAGGTTATAAACCTACAATTGAGAATCAGAAATTGGTTATCAGCACTCAGTAATGCATCGCGCTACAAAATAATGTTAGATTGACATTGCACCAATGGGCCACGCTGAGCTGCGAAAGATTGAAATAGTCAATCAACGCGGTATCTAGTCTTACTGGGCGGCGCTCAGCAGCTGTCATTCCGCCGAATCTTTATTTATGTTTATGAACAAAAGAGCCTGGGGTCCCCAGGTAATATCTAGTCTAATTGATTCACGATGTCAATCCTTCGCATCTCGCCGATCTGCATACGAGAAGCATTATTGGATGCGCGCGCGCGACCCAGTAGTGCATCGCGCTACAACTAGTCTAATAATAATATTTGGAATAAACATTTTACGAGTATCACCCGTTAACTGTTAACGTTACTTGGCTCGCCAATCCCTGTTCAACTACGCGTACGTGAGATTAGTTAGCTAGAAATATAATACTGCAATAAACTTGACGGATGTTACTATTCTAAATTTCTTCGAAGTAGCGCGCGCCGGGCCAGACCATTAACAATGGTCGACAATAGACTAGCAAGCTAGGTAGACTAGGTAGCAAGCTAGGTAACCGTTAACGCCGCGCCAATCACAATATGCACGGCATTGCATTCTTTTCGTGCTTCTCGCATACGCGAGAAAAGCTTGACCATTGTTAATGGTTTGGCCCGGCGCGCTACTTCGTAGCACTTGCCATCGAGAAGAAAGCGGCGCGCGCTACTTCGAAGAAATTTAGACGAGTAACATCCGTCAAGCTAGACAGAAGCAAGCAATAAATCAGCAAGCTAGGTAAACTATTTAATTGTGTATCGATTGAAAATTTAGATCCTTTGCACCTTGGCTGTTGGCGTGGTCCGGTTGCCAATGGTACATTACGCCGATCTAACGGCGACAAACATTATTTGATGCGCGGCGCGGCCCAACAGTGCATCGCGCTACATTGTAAGCTACTTTATATTAAAAGTACTAAATTGTCAGTTGTAGCAAGCGAGAGGGCTCTGGTTAGAGCAAGTATTGATGCCAGGCGAACCACACCCAAAAAACCTTATATTACTGGCTGGCAGGCTGGGGCCTATTTGTAGGTTTATAACCTACCAGGACGCGCGCCGAGTTGGACTCTTCGACGGTCCAATATATGGAACAGATATTTTACGAGTATCACTCGTTAAGGGCCTATATTCAATATTATATATATATATCTCCAATTTCCGAAAATAAAATAAATAAAGCCCCTCCTCATAACAGACAACTGGCTTTTTTGCCAACTGCTTTTTATCTGTTTTTCCAAAAGTTTTCCAAAAAATGATTACTTAATATGTACATGTAAACGACCCTTAAGTGCATATTGATTTGCATAATTTGTCCATTGTTAATGGATTAATCCGGCGCGCGCTACTTCGAAGAAATTTAGAAGAGTAATTGCTCTATCCAGAGCCCTTGCGTTTGCATGGTGGCGCGCGCACGCCTCCCGGATTTTCTTTACTTGTGAAACAAGCGCGCCCACAGTGGTGCGAAAGCACATGGTTCTAGGCAAAGACGAGTAACATCCGTCAAATTCATAATGAATTCGCGAGTAATATTAATTTCGCCATTTTAATATTCCACGAGGTCAGCATACTATGTACTAAATTATTTCGCCATTTTTTCAACATAAAATTTGGACTCTTGGTCAGCTTGTTTGTAGTTACTTAAGCATTAAGTAGTGTGCGCGGCGCCTTCTCGAAACAGCTTAGGCAAAGATTTGCAATTTTTTTCGTTTAAGTAAAAGGTCATTCAAACAATATATACATTTCATTAAATCAATTGATTGACGATGTCAACCCATTGATATCGTTGCTCTGTGAAGCAGAGCATGCAACGATGCTTCGATGCTTTGATGCTTCGATCAAGAAAACAACAATTTCAAGAAAACAACAATTTTATTTAGTATCAATTAAAGCAGACAAAAATATATTTCATATATATATAACTAGCACGAACTTTAGATCAGATATCTTAGGGGACTTGGAGTAGCAAGAGATTGACTAGAAGGTATATACCTTTTACAAAGATACGTCGAGAAGAATCCAGGGTGATACAGGATCGGAGAGTGCAGACCAAAAGTTTACGCACCCACCTTTGCCTCCTGAGTTCTTGGGTGGATAAAAATTTATGCAAACTTGGTCGTTTATACCCCAAGTCCCTTTCTTAAAAGAAGTAGTATTAACTATGTCTAGAGTTAGCTTCGTTCAATAATAACAATATCAATATAATCAATATCAATACCAGATAAACCTACCGAATAAATTATTAAATATCAATTAATTCATTCCGATAAAATTTTTTATAAATTTAGATATTTAGTATCTAAAAACATTACAACAAATGGTTAGAAAGCGCCCAAAATCGATTTGAAAGATTTTCTGTATAGTACAATCATGATAGTAATAGTAAGTGTGTGCTTCGGTGCTTCGATGCTTCGATGTTTCGATGCTTCGATGCGAAGCAAGAATGCTAGTTTGCGCGGCGCGTCGAAGCGGCGAAGTCCTCCAATTAAATCAAGTGATGCAATTGGCAGAGCATAATCAAATTAAGTGTTGCAATCGGCAGAGCACAATACATTGCTACCAATATTTGTAAACTTTAACAATCAAACATATACAAGTTTCAAAACAAAATTTGCAATATAGCGTGCATTGAGTTGGGTCAATCCATTAAGAACAGACGAGTAAAAATCCGCTATTTGTTGCTTTTAAACTGCAGACTCCAGACATGGCTGAGATAAAATTTTTGAGAGTCGTTCGACATCTCAGCTTACACTTACCGAAAATCCTTTATGAGGAAAACGGTCAGGTTGATTAATCGCAGCTGAAAAAGATTAACACATGCTTTTTGAAAGGTCCTGCTATAATGCTACAAGGAACTTCCGTATCACTTACCCGTTTCAAAAACCCTCTCCCACACATTTATACATGTTCATAAGCTAAAACCCATTATTACTTAAAAATTAAATCGAAAGTTGCAAGTTACAATGACGAAGGGTGTAAAATGTTCACAGTTCTGATATTGAAGAAATAAGAAAGAATGTATAAAACTTGTGATGATGTTATTTCATTATTCTTAATCTAAATCTAATCTACACTTCCTCAAAGTAGGAAGGACACATTTTCTAAACTTGTTAGGATCGTCCCTGAACTTATCGTGACCAATGCCAGGGTATACATACTTCACTGATCTACTCTTTCTGCCAAACTCCTCAGCCCAAACAAATAGTCTAGATTCTTCCATCGTGACAGGCCGAGAGCCACCCAGTGAATTCCATATTGAATTTGAAAATCGTGTATATTTCTATGTAACCATATGTTTATTGTTTATGCAACCTGACACGGATCTGTGTAGTAATACTTACTTGAAATAATATCCTATCAATTAGTATCTAGTGGGATACGTACATGGTGAAATTGACGATTTACTTGATCAATTCAGCGCTGCGTGTCAACAGTTATTTAATTCAGACTATCTCGCAAAATAACTTGGTGCAGGCTAGTTAGGAATGTGTGCGACATATGCTCACAGGACGGTTGCAAAGCTACCATATTTTTAAAAACCTCGTTGGCTAACCCTTGTCCTTGACTCTTTTGTGCCTTGGGTACTTTGAGTCATAGACCGGGAAAAATGAGACATGTGTCACTTATCGAATATATATGTACACTTTGTACAGTGCAGTTCATAAGACTTTTAAATTTGATAAATGAACCAGCTTTCCCATCCTTTCAATTTTAGTTTTGACAAAATGTCCGGTCAAAAGCCAAGTGGTTACCGGATACTTCCACTACGGGATCACAATGATATGTTCCTGAAAGCAAAGTTTGCAGTACCAGATCTAAAGGATACAGAAAAGTTATCAACCAGAACAAAGATTAACCTGCTTTATTATCAGACAAACTATTTCCTATTTTTCATCATCTGGCCTTACATTTTTGGGTAAGTACCAGAGTTTATTTGCAGTTAATCAGTTATAAATGATAAATAATATCAATTCTTTTAGACATTATGGATTAATACTGGATTTAGCTTTAAAAATACAACTTCGAGTAAATGAGTTACGGTATTATATAGACGATGGAGAATAGGGAGATGGTTTTATTGGCAGGCTACCTGTTTCTTGAAGAAATTCAACACATTTACACTTTTCAGGTCCCTCCAGCCAGATATGTTTTTGTATGGACTTGGTTCAGTGCTTGTGCTGCCATTGACATTACTAGTGCTAGCAGCTGACAACATCAGACCATCTGCTGTGGCTCCTCAGACTATAAGCTTATGCATTGGAGCTTTGTGGTCCATTTTCTGTGTAGCAACTGGTCTTTGGACGAGTGTTTGCTACTTCTTGGTATCCACAGGGTTACCTTTAGCAGGTAAATTATTGCCATTTATTTAGAGTGTGTTTGGACATCACACTTTCTTTTCTTGATCCAGGCATTTAATAAGTTAATTTCATAACTATGAATCAATATAAACAAACCAATAATCATTTGTCGTAATCATTTGTGATATTTTTATAACGATATTATACGTACCAGCTGGTAATGCAATTTAGATAAACTAAATAATCATGCTCACTATTTCCCACTCAGCAATTGCCATACACTCCATGTCATTGGTACCTCAAGAACTTCTGATCAATTTAGAATGGAAGACGCCTATGGGTGCTATCGTTTTTGTGTTTTCTCTTGTAGCTGATAAGGGCGGTTTGGCCTCTTTGGTTAAAGACAGCATGCTAAATTCGTTAACAGAGAAGATTTGGGGGAAAAAGAGGAGTGAGAGTGTTGACTCTTCGCCTGCTGATAAAAAGAAAAGCTCTATGTCCCTAGCAAACCTGGTTAAACGCAGAAAGAATTCTTCTTCTGGTGGTTCTCTTAAAGATATGGGTATCACACTTGATGATCCTCCCTCTGACAGCCCAAAAGTATTGGTAGCCAAGAAAGATATTGATAAGGATATAGATAGCACTTCATTTTCTGAAAAATGGGAATCATATCAGAATATTTCTTTTGCAACTGTTGATGAGAACAATAAAGGACCAAGTAAGCCTAGTAGGTTCAAATTCTTCAAGAAGAAACCTGATCGTTATACAGATGAAAATGGAGAGGAGCTTTCAAACAGTAAAAGCAAAGGAAAGTTAAGGCGAAAGAGGCTGTCATCTGGGATGAGCCAGGTTTCCTCAACTAGTGATCTTAGTTTTAAAGATGCCCAAGTGGATGTCCCTGCTGTTGAGCCTGCTGAGAGAAGTGTCCGTTTCGAAGTTGGATCTGAGAATCTGGATTTTGGTTCTAACTATCAAGCAAAAACAGCTACTATTGCTGAATGCTGATCAAGACGATTAATCTGAGCTCATAATATCGTGAGGATAGGCACACCGCATGTTTGCAAAGCTGGCATCCTTTAATCCTTTTACTACTTTCATTTCCCTCTTATTCCTCGGTAAATCGCTGTTTTACCGTGGTAGGAATTCTCAGAAATTAGCCATTATATGAACTCTATTTAGATGGTACCTAGAAGCTTGCCAGGATTTGAAAATCATATAATTTAGAACTTAGTGGCTAGTACAATACTCATGAAACTAGAAGTGAGACCCGTTCATTTCGAGTTAGTAATCGGAAGGTCTGCAATCTGATCTATCACTCAACATAAAATAAGTTTATTAACTCTCTAACCTTCCCATTGTTTCAGCACATATTATATTCATAGAATAAAATAAATCACGCCCTCACGGCTCACAATCATGCTTACTATTTTAGTGATGATTTTGTGTACCTACTTTATGCGGTTTGTATCATATCATTTCACTACATCATCAGTTTATTCTAATACCATTCTGCTGTGAGGTTACATTCCTTTACCTCTACAAAATAGCATACATTCATAGCTTAGATAGGCTGAAATGCCAGTATGTAGTATTGAGGTACAGCCCTGCAATGTAGCATTACACAGACATCATATTTACTTCGGATGAAATTCTACATGAGAAGAAATGCCGATCAGCAAATTTCACATTTCATCTTGACTTCTTGAGTTCAAAAATTGTATATAATTTCTGCCTGTCATAATATATTCCTCCTATATCTATGATCAAAATATGCTGATCCTGGCACTAGCAATAATGTAAAGGATGTGAGTATGACAATAATTGACTATGTCAATAATTTCAGCTGTACTGGGACATGCCTGTGCTCGATATACTTCAAGACAGGACGTCTACCACTTCCACCACTCCCCCATGAGCTACATCTTGGGTTTCAAGCCCGGTACCGTACAGACCACCACCGCCCAGAAGATGAGAGCAGCACCTCCTCCCGAGTACAGGGAGTACGAGCAGATCCGAGCCAACACACTCCCCAGACGGAACACCAATGGCTCCTGAGTTGGCTCCTGAGTTGACTCCTGAGTTAGCTCCTGAGTCGGCTCCTGAGTTGGCTCCTGAGTCGGCTCCTGAGTTGGCTCCTGAGTTGGCTCCTGAGTTGACTCCTGAGTTGGCTCCTGAGTTGACTCCTGAGTTGGCTCCTGAGTTGGCTCCTGAGTTGACTTCTGAGTTGGAAACTTCTACTGAATTGGTTTCCGTTTGTGGAAGTCAGTAATGTGAACATGGTATTGCTATCGGGGGCTAGATAGTCAATAGTTTGTTTATATAAATAACAAAAAAATATTAATTTAAACTTACAGAATTTGCCAAATTATTTGTTTTCATAAGTTTTTATTGGTTTCGAATTTTATTCTTTTGTAGTTGTGTGTCTAGTATCGAGGATCTTTCGAGTGTTAATGAGGTTAAATCGATCATCTACATTTTGGGAACCACAATTATGCCTTTGGGAAATTATATTTATCGGGAAGTACATTTTTGAGTTTACCTTTAAAATTTCTGTTTTTAAAACAAACAAAAAATATCAGAGCATGTAGAATCTAGATTGTAGTTTAAATCAGGTAGATGAATCAGTAATTGGGTAAGTGTGGCCGAGTGTGAACTTTTAACATTGTAGTGTTTAGTAGGGAGCATCTCAACAGACAAAGTAAAACAAGTTATAATTATTACAAATAATAATTATAATTGTAATTCATAATCAGTAATCTTAGTACAAGGCCAATGAGTGCCGAAACGTCGATTAATTTTTTAATCGCCCTGTTATTTGCCTTTTGTCACTGTCGAGGGCCGTGATGCCCCCTATCAAGCACTACAATTTTTCTTCATTATAGCATGAAAAGTTATCATGATGATTGTTCAAGTCCTTTTTTTGATATTTATGTATTAGCATTATTCGAATTTTCTAACTTCTTAATTATTTAGAGCTGATAGAATTTTCTATATTCAGAAGGGCGTCAGTTATTTAAGAATGTATAAATTTAGTTTAGAAATAATGTTATTTATATTTGAAGATTATCCAAAACCGTCCTCGTTTACTCTGACGTCTGAACCTGCATTCTTAATCATATGTCTCCTCATAGTTCGTTGAATAATACGGCCATTGCTCGAATTCTTTTGCGAAATACAGATTAATTAACAATTACTGTTAAAATGTCTTAATCAAACTATACCCCCAGATCTGCTAAATCACTGACCATGGCTGTGTGTCTAAAAAGACTTTGTTCCCTTTCTCTCCGCTCAATGAGTACAGTTGGGTTTGTAGGTCTGGGCAACATGGGCGGTTACATGGCTAAAAACCTTGTTAAAGCTGGTAAAGACGTGGTAGTGTACGATGTCAACGAATCCTCAGTGCAGGATTTAAAGAGTACTGGTGCCGGAGCGTGCAGCACTCCTAGTGACCTGGCAGCAGTTAGTGATGTTATTGTTACCATGGTTCCCTCCTCACCACATGTTCTAGAGGTTTTCACGGGGAGTAATGGTTTGTTGAAGACACTCAAACCGGGCACACTTTGTATAGACTCCAGCACTATTGATCCTACTGTTTCTAAAGATGTTGATGCTGCAGTGCGCGCTGCTGGGGGACACTTCTACGATGCGCCGGTATCTGGTGGGGTAGTAGCAGCAGAGAACGGAGCTCTAACCTTCATGGTAGGGGGAGATGCGGACAAGTTTGAAGAGGTCAAATCGTATCTGGATGACATGGGTGCTAATGTTATCCACTGTGGAGCTAACGGCAACGGACTTGTAGTGAAACTGTGTAATAACATGATGTTAGCTATTAGTATGATTGGAGCTGCTGAAACTCTGAATATGGGAATTAAGATGGGTATGGAGAGGCAATTGTTATCGGAGATATTGAGTAAGAGCACTGCTCGCTGTTGGAGTATTGATACTTACAATCCAGTTCCAGGAGTGATGGAGGGTGTCCCTGCATCTAGGGATTATGCTGGTGGGTTTGGTGCTACGCTCATGCTCAAAGATTTGGGGTTAGCTGATGATATGGCTGATGGATCAGATTCGCCGATCGTTCTAGGCAAAATGGCCAAACAGATTTATGATGAATTGTGTAAAGACGAGAAGTTTGCTCCGAAAGATTTTGGTGTTATTTTTAAGAAGCTGAGTGAGCAATAGGTGTTTTTTTCAGAGGCATAATTATTAACATTAAATTTCAATAAAATTTTTAGAATTAAATTATGATAGAGGGCCAATGGAAATGGCCACAACTTTTCTTATTATGTTTGCTATTTTTTGTTTTTTACTTTAGTCATTTATAAGTGTTTCTGGAACTTTGTAAATATTTAGGTCGTTTGTCATCGAAACTTAAAAATAATAAACGTAGCTTTTGTGTATTTGTACTATGGTTTGTTATACTTTATTCTATATTTATCAACTTTTCGATGTAGCTATTTATTCTAGAATTATACCCATTTACTCGTTTGTCTGCTTACTGTCTGCTTTCTTCCGACATCATGATAATAGAAGTTTTGAAACTACAGATGTTTTGGTTTCGCATTACGAAATTACAAACAATCAATAATGTTCAACAACATGATGAAAATTAGAACTCAAATCTAATTGATCATCCCTCCTAGACAGCCTGAAGTATGATAGGAGCAGTGACACAGAGGACAACCCTCTCACTCCAAACTCTAGAAGAGATGTGGACATCTGAACAATCCCAGAACGACATACTATCTGCACTAACCCCAACACTTACCAAGATACTGCTGAGAAAAGATCAGAACTTGTTTCTTGACACGATGAAGTTTGTTGCTATGTTGGTTGCAGAGGTATACGAGAAGGTAGAGAAGACAACACTTTGTGGGTTTACAGAGAGGTTCCTCGCTGCAGCTAATACCACGGCTAACAGATATTATAACAGCCATACCTTCGATCAGAGCAGGTACTATTGTGTTGTTTGAAAGTTCATAACGATTTTATCTCTGAATTTTAGGCGTTCTTTGATGTATTTATTCTGTTCAGCTTATCGTGCAAGTAATGTAAAGTGTAACGTTTGTACACGTTTTCTCAGGTATCTGGACTGTGTGTCAGCTATCTTATCAGTGTGGGTAGATTGCACAGACCAGCAACATCTCGTCATTCCTAAAGTTACAGTTTACACAAGGGAGTCTAAAGTTCATATTTTAGATGCCATTCTCCAGTCTCTCCATCTTAAGTAAGTGTTCTTGTTTTTATCCTTATTTCACTGTTATTTTAGAGCGAAATTAATAATGATAATAATAATTATGAACCTACAAGTCCTTACCCACTCAGGTCACAAACGAAAGAGAAGTTGTTGGATCAGATTTCCTCACTTTCTGATGTTGAAATATTCGTCAAATACACGATTATTGGCCGAGCGTCTCCCAAACACCACTTACATTCGCTATCAGAACAACCATCAGAAGACATATTCAGGTGCTTGGCTTATCTTTCATAGTGCTTAGTTTGTAAATATGCAGTGTACTGTCTTGTAGCTCAATAACAGACACTGGCTATCTTGTATCGCTCTGACACTCCGGCTTATTAACAAATGTTTTAAAATCGGATGGGGAAACCATTTTGACTGATCTGATGACTAATCTTACAGTGTCATCCTCTGTGGGACAACACGTTAGCAGTTCAGCGCATACTTTTGCGGAATAGCCCACTAAGAAAATCAATCCAAATAACGTTATTCTTTTTCCTTCCTCTTTTCCTTGTCATCCCCTTTAGTTTTAAGATTCTTGCTATAAATGGCTACAGCTAACACTATTAATGCTAAGTACCAAACAACAAATCGATTTAACACCGCAATTCCAGTCGCAAGCCTGGGACCACTACTAGCATAGTCACAACATCTACAAAGCTGCCATATAGCCTGACTGACAATTTTCTCGACTGACTGACAATGTTTCTTCTTTTTCCCCATTTAGAATACAAAGATTAGTACATTTTAGCTTATGATTAATATTATATTTTTACCTATAGTTTACCTAGATTGCTGTTACAGCCAGTTCAGAAAATGATCGGGAAAATCCAATTACTTTACTTTGGGCCACACCTAAACTGTAAAAGGGTCTACAAACAGATAATAATGGAACACGCGATTAGTCGTTTTGATAAGCTTCCCGCGCATTTCAAAACGCGACGCGCACGCAGCTAGCGCACGGCATGCATGGTACGCGCGGGTAGCTTAGATCGATCATATTGATATATTATATCGCTGCATGTACATATATTATGCATTGCATTCAGCGCAGCTAGCTATAATCTAGCTACATATGTTATAAATCGAAGATCGATTTTGATCCGATACGTAAGATCGCACTCTTGTTTATCCTATGGCGTCAGAGAAAGTTAAAGTTTAAACCATCCTAGCTGCTAAGAAAATCCCCTAGGCTTTCTCTAAACAGATTACTCTAGCTTGGCTGGATCCGAGAGCAATTAGCTTGGTTCGAATAATTGACGCGCCGCGCGCGCACAATTGGAATTCAGCTTAATTATATGATTATCGCATGATTCGATGTGCATATACTAATGTGCATATCGATCGACGCGGTCGTCTTTCATTCGTCCAAGTCTTTAGACTGTACTCAGAGAGTTTAATGGTCAAAACCTATGAAGTTCGAACACATAGAATCTAGACATTGTTTACCTGGGAACCCCAGGCTATCATGTTCATAAACTGTAAACATAGAGATTCGGCGGAATGACAGGCTGAGCGCCGCCCAGTAAGACATTGGAAAATGCAGGACCGTCTAGAAAATCCTCTAATTCTAATTTTATCCGCAGGTGTTGGTTACTGAAGCACAACATAACAACTATTGGGTCAATCTCAGACTTTCTAGCTAGCAGCAGATCTGACGAGGATCTTCTCTCTGCTATGTGCAGACCCTTTTATAGCTTGCCTCAAGTATTGTCGGACAGTACGGAAGTTGTGGAAGATACTGAACCTGAAGTTAATCCGGATACTTTATTCTACTTTGATAGAGGTAATCATTCTGAGTCTCGAGAGGAAACTAGCAAGCCTGCTGAGGACGAGATTCCAGAGGACGAGAAGATGTCAGTTGATGATAGCCCAAAGCCTGTACTTGCACCCGCTGATACAATCGTCGGAGCAGAAGCAACTGTGGTTGAAAACAAAGCAGAATTAGAGGAAATCCAGCCTTGCATCGAGAATGAAACGCAGAGCGAAACTGTAGCGGCGGTTGAAGAACCAGTTGCAGAGCCAGGGTTAACGGAGTCGTGCATTAAAATCAGGAACCGTCGAAAAGGTCGCGGTAATCCACCGATACCAACACCTGAATCTGAAGTGATAGTGGTAAAATGTCCCACTACTCGGCCAGTTACTCCAGCTGCAGAGAAGGTAGACGAACTGAATATGACAGCTCCACTTACAGAGGAAACATTATCGTCCCTACCGGATAAACCCTCTGTTGTCAGGAGTGGTCGGAGGAGGAGGAATTCCGGGGAGAGTGCCACCAGTATTGGAAGTGCGGCAAGTGTTGATAGTATAGCCTCCCGCACTCGAAACCGAGCTCGTGCACCTGCTCCTGAATCCCTTGAAGTTATCACTGAACACGAAGAAACAGCGAAGGCCCTGAGTACAAGAAAACTGAAAACTCCAACAGTGAAAGGTACACCAAAGGCAAAGCAGTCCACCGCGTCTAAACGTGGGACATCTCGTAAGGTTTCTGAAACAATCGATGAAACTCCTCAAATTCCCGCGAGAAAAACCAGAAGTCGAAAATTGGACGTTTGACGTTATCTAGAACAGAGTTTTAATGTTGATGGGACTTAATTTATTCTTAATTTATTAATCTATTTAGGGATATTTAGGGATAAGCAATGCTGTCGTGTGTTCATGCCCACTCCGTAGAGTTCCTTTACAATATCTTACGTATTATTATGAGCTGTTACGTTTTTGCGGCCGATCTCAGCGATTGTTGGTCTCAGGACCAAGAGTATTCAGTTTGCATCAGCACATGTAAGCATCCCAAGTATGCATCGCGCTTTATGTCAGAAGTGTCTGATAAATGCAATTTACCCAAGTCTTTACTAAACTGTCCTCTATTCGATTTCCCAGAGCAAGCTCACTATTGTTGCAAGTGCGGAGCGCTACACGTTCAGAGTTTGAGTTCATTTCCCCGAACGTTTAAAATATTTTGACCTGCTGTACTAAAATTTGTGACCAGACCAAATTAGGTTATAACAGTCAACTCGTCGGCGGAATGCAACATTTAGTCGGGTGATGTGAATTTTGGAGCTGAGTTTGTTGCAGCGGAGAGCATTTGTCTTTATATCATTATGAGAATGAGACAGCAGTACATATTATTATTGCATCGTTTTGTCGTGACATGCTTTTCAGCTTCCATCTTTTAAAGTTAGAGATTAATTATCAATAATATGTAAGTAATTCTGGGTGAATATGTCGGTGTCATATGTAATAATTTTACCTATCTGTTTCACTTTTTTAGAAAACTTAATTGTGTCTATTTCACTTGTATGAATTATAAACCTTAATTACCATGAACTTTACCAAACATGGCCCACATCAATTATCACAATAAAGTTAGGTCTTCCCCTAATTGGCTAATTATATATATATGTACATTATCGTTTAATATATAAAGGTCGAGCTATAATTCAAAAGAACAAAGAGTAGTTTATAACAAAGAGATTCCGATATATAGTACACTGAGTCACAACAAATACCAACATTGCTATGTAGTTGGGCTCTAATTTTCAGGGTACCCCCACGATAATTATTTCGCATATATAATGATTTATAAGTCACGTGTCCCAACCCTCACGGCTCACATCCTCACATTGCATTCCTCAGAGCTGTCCGGCTCGTTTGTGACTAGCTGCCCTCATTGTGCTGCACTTCCCACATCCATCCCTTTGTCAGCTGGTCATATAAAAGCTCGAGTTTTAGTCGCTTATATATTAGTTATTGTACCTGTTTAGTTTGGCTGTGTTCCTCCTACCACATCACTTAAACTAAACTGCCAACAACTCCCTTACAAGGCTATTACATTCGCTGTCGTGGAATTACAGATGTTACATGTTGTTGTAGACCACTGTAGGAGCTGCAGTTTGTATGTCTTGTTACTATGTGGATACTGTCTGGCTACATGTTATTATCCGCCTACATGATGGGTTTAAAATGTAGTTATTATGTCAGCCTATATGCCGATAGTCTGACTGGGAATCCCTTAATGTGAATCCTAATTATGCTCCTGAAACGAATCACCCCATTGTTGTGTTGCGTTAAAGGTCTGTATCGAAATGGGTTCTATTGACTGGAGGGGTTATATTGTCTTACTGTACTGCAGAGAGAGAGAGAGAGAGGGAGAGAGAGAGAGAGAGAGAGAGAGAGAGAGAGAGAGAGAGAGAGAGAGAGAGAGAGAGAGAGAGAGAGAGAGAGAGAGAGAGAGAGAGAGAGAGAGAGAGAGAGAGAGAGAGAGAGAGAGAGAGAGAGAGAGAGAGAGAGAGAGAGAGAGAGAGAGAGAGAGAGAGAGAGAGAGAGAGAGAGAGAGAGAGAGAGAGAGAGAGAGAGAGAGATAGAGAGATTACTGTACTGCGATGATTTCCGAATCCTGAAATTAACGTACGTTTGTTTGATGTTTTTGAGCTCTTGCGTAAGAAGAAACCCGATCTTTCGTTAGAATGCCTTATGCATAGGACTTTACAATAAGAACGTAGGATGTCATTTTAACTTATAACGTAGCATCGGTGAAATCTAATATGCAGTAGTAGGTATAACGGACCACGGGACCACAGTAAACCTTTCGTTAGAAAGTTCTGAGGAATTCTGATTAAATCACACACCTGGCTACAAAATATCGGATATTTGATATGCAGTGTTAGATATTTGTGGTCAAAGTCCATATAAATTTTCATAATGCCCTGTGAATTAATTGTGAAACAAATATTGGGAATATACTACTCTGCTGTAAATTTAGGGGTCTGGTTAACAATGTTCGTGGGAGGGTTGCGTAAAGTGTTGCGGAGGACTGGGATCCAGGGACTGAGCGGGGGAATTAGAGGGTCAAACTGGACCTGGAAAATAATTACTAATTTAAGATGAAATATGGCAAAAGCACTGTTTTACCAATGTGGTAATAATATTTATAGCCTATCGGTAAATACGCACTCTTCTTAAACAGTAATTTCCTAACATTATATATTAAACGTTCAGGCAATATTTCCACTTTCTAGGCGTTATTTCAAGATTCATAGATTAAATTTCTTTTGGACTTCCTATTTCTTCTTCCATGTTTCCACGTCACCGTTTATTTATCATTCAATTAAGTGTACACTGTACGTGTATGTTAACTGTTAAATGTTTACTCTAGTGTTGAATAAGAGTTCCGTTATCTGTTCTTTGTTTTACTAGTTACAGTCCGTTTCTAATTTATTACTTTCTAATTTATTATAGATATTTTATAACTGTAGTTATTTTCTTATAATATCACATCTTTAATCTTGCTACAGTTTTACAATTTCTAAGAGACCGTACAGGGTTAAAACGCTTCCCTGACAAGTCATCGTCGAAAAACTGATTTGATCACGTGACATGGCCACAAGGAATTATGTCAACATTTTAATTTCTTGTCAGAGTTAGGATTTAAGCAGATGCTTAAGTTAGTGATTGGCGATTATGGTTGGGATTGGGGTCAGAACTCAGAGTATAATATTAGCGTTTCGATTTGTCCGTCAGAGCCATCTACAAAACGTGTTAAACTAAAAACTTAGTCACGTGATAGTCGAGTGTGGAGTGATTATCATCATGTCCTGATGTTTCAGTTGCAGTAGCTTCAAAAGTGCTGGTTTTACACTGACAGGTGTGAGTGAGCCATACGAAACTTTTATCTTTAATCGCTCCTGCACTGTCACTGTCACTTCTCCTCAGTGAAATAATTTCATTTGGAGTGTTAAAACTGAATCTGGAATCTTCTGTTCTAAACGTCATTTCATTTGGAGTAATATGCCAATATTGGATGTTCTGCACAGATCATAGGTGAAATGATGTGATTATGTCGACAGATAAATGATAACATGTGTGATCCTTGCAGCGTGCACTTTTAACGATATGAATTAACGCCGAACAATAACTGACCGTTATTTAATACCCGTACAAGTGGTGACTTTGTGTAATCAGTAGCGATACGACTATCATGTTACTCCCCCACTATCTTACACACTCCCCCACTTTCCATGCTCTCTTTGTCCGTGCTGGTACTCTCCCACGTCTCCCACATTCCTGTTACATGGCATTCCACTGACACACACTCTCACTCTCAGCTCCTCTGATCTTACCACCACTTCCACGTCACAATCACGTCATATCCCTGATGAGGTATATTTATCTTTGCAGCTCTGTTTATTCTACTGACGACGCATGGAATTAGCCCTTGCCGGGGTAAATTCCATTAGAACACTCGAATTGATTACATCCCCGGACCCCAACATGTATCACATTCCAATACCGTTGTTCCGCATAATTTACAGCAAGTCTTGATTTCGTTTACACTCCATAATTCCGCAGCTGCAACAATCTTTCCTCATTCTCTCCCTCTTCTTACCTCATATTCGTAGCAGAATTAGTTGCCCTAAACAAAACTTAGTTTTTGAATTCTCTCCTAACTCAAACTATCAATTTGATATAATTCGTTATTTGTTTAAAACCTCTCTCTTGATTATACCCTACTCTTACTGCTAATTCCTAGGTGTTTTATCCGCACATCACACTCGCATGCTTCTCCGTAAAATGATAATTTCTGAATGTTTACCGTGCATGGAGGGGTGACACAGCATCATGTTCTCCGCGCACAATTGACAGCCCTGTAATTGGGAGCGTAGCTGGGTGGGAAACCCTGCAAGTTATCCCGCTCCAACTGTACTATTGCCTTATCCCACGCTAACTAGCCGTTAGCTCCTGTCCTAGCTTTGACACGTTCCTTAAATTATATCTACACGGTTTGGGATAATTCTGCATATTTATCATTATTATTATCAGGGTTTTTATACCTGCATATAACTTATTAATATAATGTTCGGTTTTATCTAGTGTTAATGCGAAGTTTATAAGGCTCGTCGTGTCGCTGCTTTAGACCGAGTAAAACTCCGCTAGGCAGTTTTAGTGGCAAGTCTTCCTCCGTCAATAATCACCCGCTACTCCCTACCTCCCGCTTTTCTTCCACATAATTAATTTTAATTTTAAAGATGGCGAGTATACTCCAGCCTATAGCAGCGGTATAATACGCTTTGTGCGAATATAGCTCAATTATCGTATTCGTAATTGGTTTTCATTCTAGCTTTGTATAATTTATCGTATAAAAGCTAAAAAGCCGGAGAATGCATATATTTTAGGAACTTTTCCAGTTTCATGTTATGGGCTGTCTAATGTTTTCAATTTCAACACCATCCTTCTTGGTAATGGGCACAAGGTGGCCCAGCTCGATGATGCAGGATATGCTCACATATTATTAAATAATTTCTCAATTTGTGTTGGATATTCACGATGCACTCTCCTATGCTCGTACTCTTAGTTAGTTAACATAATATAGTTGTGGTTAATTATAGTTAATGGCTACACTCTAAGTAATCTGTCTCCTGGCGTCCACCAGTCTTTCCCAGATGATCTCAAGATGTTGTGTAATGTGTATACAGTTTGTTGTATTTGATTCCCAACAGACGGCTGAGCAGTCTTCTCAAATAACCTTCCAGCATGTGTTCACGGGTGTGCTTTCTTCAGCATTCTTTAAAAATCACATGAAACTTTTTCCCACTAATTTTATCCTCCCTCCCGCTCGAAATATTTACCTACGACGAGAGTTTAGGAGTGTCCCCTTTCGATCACCAGCATATCCGTTTTGAATTCCAATTGATTACATTTACAGTAGGCCCGGGGTCAAATACCTGGCCGTTATCTGGTTATAGAACTCTTCTCTCAGTCGTCTCCATGGTTACTAACTCTAATTGTATCCTTTTCATCTTAACAACGGAACATTAGGGGTATTAGGCAGAGTACCGGTGTAGTGCCTAATGTTATTCTCCATTTCCGCCATTTCAAATCATCTACATTTGGATCCTTCGGGTGTATTGTAAGCTCTCGTTTAGGGGAATAGTCCAGATAGCGACATTATAATTCCTGTAATTCTTAATTTCCTGCGTTATTACATCCTCCCTCCACTGTAATGCGATTTTAACACAGGTCATAAAGGTTGAAAAGTGTCGATTGACTGCAGCACACATTTTATGTGACATGTAATCTTCAGCTTTAATTTTCCGTTTGTAAATTTGCTGGTCGCTTGCATTGTGGAATGCAGCATGTGGACTTGTGGAGTCACAGCTAAATTCCCGGACCAAACCTTCGGTGTTTCTTGCAAGTTTTGCTACAGATCAGCGTCCTAATCACATTCTTGTACGGGGCATTTTGTCCTGACAGTATGTAGTTTCATTGTTAATGATAAGCTAACTTAATCGAAGTCTCCTCCTTGTCAATAGTCCCAGTTATGAGACATATGATTATCATTGTTTGTGCTATTGGACCTCTCCTGAGAGTGAGACTAACGTTAATTTGGTTGAAACGAGACCACATATTTGAGGTATCAGATACTTGAATTTTTCCCTTATTTGGGAGTATAAGAAACATTTCTTTTATAAATATCCTCTACAAAGAGATGTTATACACTCCTCTTTATAAGCTATATAGTTACTATAGCTGTGAATTGCACTGCTTGCTCTTTAGCTTTGTCGTAAAAGTCTTCATCTATTTTAGTTAGATAATTTCAAAATTTTATTTGAAAAATGAAGGTGATTTTACCAACTTAGTGAACTTAGCAAGAGATAGAGTAGGATGGAGGAGTTTATTTACTTTGAGACATATTGAACGAATGAGTCTTCGTAAGCGTAAATAGGCCAGCACTTTGCTGAGCCTCTTTAGGTGCTCTTTTGTTTATAGATGTTATTATATATATATATAATTTCAAAATAAGGTAATTAGGAAACATCAATTTTACCCTTATTTCCCATTTTATATCTCCCTTGTATCTTTAGAACAGTGATGTTCTTTTCTAGTCACCATGTAGATCCAATGGCTATTTCTCCATTATTTATATTTCTCATTACCGGCCTTGTTTTAATTATCTTGTGAAATTCTTCATAATGTTTGGATAAGAATTCCAACCTAAATTTCCGGTATACGGCCACACAGTACTTCCAGAAGTCGCAACCGGGTTATTTTCTTCCGGGTATCATTTTCAGTTCTGAGCATGATGTATGTTCAAGGTAACTTCATCCTTTATTTGTGGCATGTAGGAGAGTTGGAGAGTTGGAGAGTGTAAATGGGAATACAATAGCAAGGAGCTGACCTCTTTAGCTGTGCCTGATATACGCGACTCAACTCGAGCTTTCAGTAAGAAAATTGTCACCTTGCGAATTTGAAGGGCCACCATTGGTTCTTTTCTTGAAATTCAACTCCTGATTGGACCACCTGTATGCTCTGAAGACTGAATATGTGTTTTATTATTATCACACTGCCATATCAAGTTTCTTTCTACTGAGTAGTATTTGCTCATTGCGTTATCAGGATTTTAGCTTCCTTTTTGCGATTCCTCCACTCATGTTGCTCTTCTTCCCGCACTGGCAGTTGCCGAAACCGTGGTTACTTTTGGGCTTCCGTCATTCTTGTCTGTCGGATTCGCGGCTGTCATTTGTTTGGAGGTCAGCTGTCAGCTGTTTACATTTGTGACGATGACTTTATTTCTTTATTTTGTACATCGTTACGTGTTTAACGTTTTTATGATCTGCAATTTTACTCTGAGTAGGAGCAGTTGAACACTGAATATCTTTAATATAACTATGATATCAAATATATGCCTCAAATATATACTCTGTACTGTAATTGAAGTTTAATTTTCCTTCAATTTGAATTGCTGATAGATAACTAACTCCCAACTTTAGTTTCTACCAGAGTAATCATGCCCAAAGGAGTAATTGTCGATGAGGAGGCAGTGATGGCTGGTTACGCGGACGTCAGAGACGATGAATCTGAAACCAAATTCCTGATGCTCACCTATCAGGACGAAAATACCAAAATTGGGTATGTTTTCTTTTCAGGTTGTTTCTTTTACAGACTGACAAAGGCTAATCAGTTTCACAATTAGTGACTAATCAAGTCTTACTTTAGAGAGTATCGTATACATATTCTAACGTCTGGGGTTACATACGACAATCTAAAATTACCAATCCAATAGGCTTCACAGACAAATCATCTTTCATAGACATAGCTATTAGGCTCAAATTTTCGATAGACCAGTCGTTCTTTACCATCATTGATTGATTATTACTCAACACCCGACCGTCCTTTAAAATTACTGACTGATCGGTCTCAACTGACCAATCCTTCTTTACAATCATTCATTAATTGAGCTAAACAGAATAGTGATTGGTGAAGATTGCTTTAAGGGGGCATACACCAAAACAGTGGTTTGTGCTGTCCAACCCAAATGACCTCATAGGCAGTTCAGTGACCATCTAGCGCACCGTTTCCACATCAAACAAAATTATTTTGAGAATACCCATTTTTGTAATCGAGCATTTCCTGGTTAGAGTGGAATTTTCGGAAAAACACAATTTGTTTCGTGGAGAGGCTATAAGTTAATCATTTCTTGCGGTATCGGGTTGAAATTTTGCTCGCCGTCTATTCACATCTATTTCAAGGTGTGTGTAAAATCTTGATATCGTATCTAAAAAGGCTGGTGTGTTATAAATTTGTAAAGTTTAAAAAGAGCAACTTTTTGAAGGGCGCAAAATAACCGCAACTAGCACATTTATATATGAGTTATGAACAACAAAACACCCTAAAATGCTTCCCTTTGAAGTTATGGGAGAAAATGTGATTTTTTATCTGCAAAGCCAAAAAAAAAAGTTACTAGCACATTCCTATCAAAATTTTAGAAAAATCAGTAAATACGAAAAACGAAAAATGTGCCTAAATTTGTTGTTTGGCTTTGAAGTCCAATAGATCTGAAGATAAATGAGTAAAAACATTTTTGAGGGCATCAAAAACTGCGCCAGAATTCAGAGAACAAGTTCATGTCAACCATCAAATTAATCCGATCTTCCCTGACTGACTTTTCGGTTAAAATAAGTCTGAAAAGGACAATTTCAACTTTTTGACTTTTTTAAACTTTAAAAATTTATAACACACCAGCCTTTTTAGATACGATATCAAGATTTTACACACACCTTGAAATAGATGTGAATAGACGGCGAGCAAAATTTCAACCCGATACCGCAAGAAATGATTAACTTATAGCCTCTCCACGAAACAAATTGTGTTTTTCCGAAAATTCCACTCTAACCAGGAACTGCTCGATTACAAAAATGGGTATTCTCAAAATAATTTTTTTGGATGTGGAAACGGTGCGCTAGATGGTCACTGAACTGCCTATGAGGTCATTTCGGTTGGACAGATTTGGTGTATGCCCCCTTAACACTACATGAATCAATATATCACATTTACAATTCAATAAATTGATCGGATTTAGCAGAATGACCAAACTTTAATAGAGCTTACAGATCGATCAAGGTTTCCGACTGATCAGACTTAATTAATTATATAATGATAACTAAATACTAATTATATAACTAAACAAATGAATTGATGTTTTCAGCGTGTCGAAGAGTGGTGCTGATTATAGTGAAGTATTAACAGATCTTGGCGGCGAGGAAGGAGAATCTCTCCGAGCATACGTGTACTTGAGAGTCGTTGTAAGTTTAATTTTTTGATTTCGTCAGTAATTTTAAAGTTTGATTTAAGCTCTAACTAAACGTATCCGAATATTTTATATCCACTATTACTTAGTAGTGGTAGTGGCACTACCATGGAACGTTCTATTTTTCCGTGTTGGACAGTGCAGTTTTTGTTTATGTCAAAACCAGGTCTGTTGTGGACTGTATTTTGAAGATCCGACATTATGTTTGAGTGATTTGTCACTTTGGCAACAAATTGGAGACATGAACTTTGCCCCTTAAATTTTAAAATAGCGTATGAGGCGCTGGTTAGTAATGTAATACTAATTTTACAAATAAAAACATGATTTATATGCTCAGTACAATCTCTACATCTAAGCAAGTCTGGTATTCAATAAGATGACCCGGCAGTATTATGAAGACTGGACAGCCACCGAAATGTTATTAAATTAAACTTACATTGTAATTCTGATAATCCATATATTTAATGAAATTATCCATATAATTATCCATGTAATATGTGGACACTCGGCAACTGAATATGCGATTGCCGATTACTACACTTGATATGTGCAATAGTAGCGACTCGATGTAATTGTATGTGATTTTACCATGTCGTGGATTTCAAGTACTCGCTAAAGCGACTTCAATCGTTGTGCTTGTACGACGTACTATACGTGAAATTCACACATCTTGCTGAATTCTGAATATTCCTATTTACATTCCTATTTACATTCCTATTTATATCGGAGTTGAATCTCTGGCACCCTGATCTAATTTCTTGCACTTCAGACAGGAGATGAGATGAGCAAACGACACAAGTTTGTTCTCTTGACATGGTGCGGTCCTTCTGTTCCTGCTCTGAAGAAAGCTAAGATGTCCCTAGAAAAGACTCTAGTCAAGAATCTGATGAGAAGTTTCGCAGTCGAAATCCAGGCTTCCGAGTTGGAAGAAATGGCGCTAGACAATGTGAGTAGAATGTTTTGATTCTACTTCTATACAGTATAGGTCCCTATGCATGTTTTTTATTAAGGGTGGCTTCCTCGCCAACTTTATCTATGGGCTCGGAAAAAAACTAAGTGTGCCGTAAATAAGGATTGTTGGTCTGTTATACGATGTGTGTCCCCGAGTATGCTTTACACCCTTTTTCAAAGAATGTAAACTAGGAAAGATGTTTTTAGTGCATCCCACAGCTATAGCTTAGAAACGTAGTGTTATAGATATATTGTAAATTAAAAAAGGCAGTGAGCATGAGTGTGAGAATGACATTTACAATTCATTGGCTGAAAAGTGACTCCAAGTCCAACTATAAGCAGCATTTATAAGGAATCTCAGGAATGTTAACATATGTAACAGGCAGTGTGAGCTGATAATTGATCCGAGAAAAATTCCGAAATGAGAAATTATTTCATTTTTAGTTGATTATTAAGGAATGCGATTGGTTTTTATTATGCCTAATTATAAATAGGTTATGGTGTTATCTATTTTATATTGTGTCTGATATCAACGAAATCAGAATCGACAGCAAATGCAAAGCACAATAACTAAAGAAGTCCACATATTTGGCCGACTGTGTGAACTGTAACGCTTGACGGACAAGATATTATTACATAGGTCTCCTATGAAACCCTCCTCAATTCTGGCTTCCCTTTCTTTTCCCTACGGCCTTATATTTACAATCCTCATTTCCTTCCTTCTTCCCAGTACGAAATATTAAACTTCAATTTAGCTAACTACGTTTATTATATGCCTTGTCACGCATAGCAGCTCACACTGCCCTTCTTTCTGCTTCCTGATTACCTGACTAGTTGCTAATTAAACATCCACTCCTTAATTACCTGCTCCTTAATTACCTGCTTTTTAATTACCTACTCCTTAATTACCTGCTCCTTAATTACATGCTCCTTAATTACCTACTCCTTAATTACCTACTCCTTAATTACCTGCTCCTTAATTACCTGCTCCTTAATTACCTACTCCTTAATTACCTGCTCCTTAATTACCTGCTCCTTAATGACCTACTCCTTTATTACCCCCTTAACTCTCTACTTGTCGCTAACAACTCCACAACGGTATCATTAGTCTCATTCCTATATTAGTCAGGCAAATAATACGAATTACCGCGAAAATGAATGATATATTTAGTTTTAAAAGACCCGTAAATAGCATGAATATTTTAAGTAATAAGCGTATCAATGAAACGTGTGTATTTATAGTTGTTACGAAGGGTACATGACGAATGATGATAGAATGTGTGAGTAAGAGCACAACTCCTGATCACACCTTTCACCTTATCAAACTATACTCCTGATCACACCTTTCACCTTATCAAACTATTCTCCTGATCACACCTTTCACCTTATCAAACTATACTCCTGATCACACCTTTCACCTTATCAAACTATACTCCTGATCACACCTTTCACCTTATCAAACTATACTCCTGATCACACCTTTCACCTCATCAAACTATACTCCTGATCACATCTTTCACCTTATCAAACTATACTCCTGATCACACCTTTACTCCTAATATCACATCCTTCCTTACTTCTTAAAACACTCTACTTCTTGACAACTTGAACCCCTGATCATTCTTTACTCCTTAAAATATATGCTCCTTAAAACACTTTACCCTACATAACTGATCGCTGTTTTGACACTACACTGGTGCAATGGATATTCCTTGCCTTAATCATGTTATCCATGACTCATATATCCAAATATAACATTTTCGTCATCTCACATGAGACGTTTACCAGAAAATATAAATGTGCAACATTAGATAAGTCTAACAGAGCAGACACTTGAGATTCTTCTTCATAATGTTACACTCAATATGCAACTCTCTGAAATTAACATCTGCTCAACAACAGCGAACTAGCCAGATGTCAGTTTTATCCGTGAGATAACCCATAATACCGGGCCAATCCAATTAGCACAGTTCAGCGAGTGTATTACATTTCCAGCACCCTCTACATTTCCTACACCACACCACACTACACTAGCAAACCAGCATGAGTGATCTTAATTTGACTGAATTGTGTGTGTTTGAATAGCGAATGAGTGATTGCGCAGCACACATATCTGCAACTAGTAAAGCGAGCTTGGTCGCCCAGTGCCCACCAGGGACCAGTGTATGTACAGCTACACGCGTCATCAGCTGTCAGCAATCTCACTTGGATGCGACCTGATGACAAGGGGAGGGGAGATCGGAAGTAACGGAATTTAATCTCAGACTTTTTTGGGAGATCCTCTTCACTGGTTTAGGAATTCTCAATTTTTTGTTTTAACAAGTTTTCTGTGATCTACTACGTGTGTGATAGTTAGGAATCTAAAAGTCGGAAAGAGGCGTCTGAAGGCGTAATTGCAATATTTGTGAAAAGTTCGGCCGCGTACGATGGATGAGTTACATACTTAAATTCTAATGGCTTCGCATACACAGCATTATGGAGAATAACTAGCTCAAATGTCTCTAAGTTACAATGTCAAGTTATTTAAACACTCAAATATTTTCAGATTATGGATCTGGTAAGAAAGAGCGGCGGTGCGAACTACGGTCCTGGAAAATAAAGCACCCATTAGGGATTTAATTGATACTAGTGCCGTAGCCGTTCTTTATATCTAACAAATAGACGTCCGCACAACTTCTATTTTTGGATTTAAATGTCTTGAGATGATAATCCTTTTTATAAGCGAAAATGCTCATCTTGCAAGAAGACCCAGGCAAGTATATCTGAACGCCACGGTGGTCTGCCACAAAAGATTGATTTATCGGTCGTTCAAAATTTGACGACGTTTCATATCTGTTCATATTTTAGAATCGGTCTACTATTATAATAAGCTATTGTTTTATTTTCAATAAGTTGCATCAAGTTTATGTTTAATTATGTTAAGGAATTTTCATATCATATTACATTCCAGGTTTATAAGCTAATTCATGAAGTTTTTCTGAATTGTTATTTTTAGGGATATCGAGGAATTTTATAAAGGATGTACTGTTTTTGAGGGGACGCCTAGAATATTGCTTTTTCGGTGACCGTATAGATTAGTGAATATTTATTGTTCCGCATTTAGGCAATTTTAATCTTGTAAATTTCATTTAAATAACAGAATTACTTTAGGCCATTACGTAATCCCATTTTCTCAAAATTTGAATCATTTTACATGTGTGAATAATAATGTATATGAATAAATTGCAACCCACGGCGTGATTTTAGTCCATGAATTCGGTAAGTTGGTTGATTTTTATAGCGCAATATTTGATGTTTATAAATTAGTGGCGTTAACAGTTTTTAGCTGAAGACATTAGTCCCTCTTTCTATTTAAAGTATTAACGACAAATTTTCAACAAAATCACGACGACGGTTTAATCATTAATTATAATTTCACCGGTATGAAATTAATTAACCCATTTAACGATATAGCTTTTAAATTGAGAAATAAATATTTCAAATTAAAAAATGGTCATGATCAATTAAAAATATACGCGGTAAAAATTAATTCGTATTTAATGGAAAATTACTATTAGTAATAGTGTGACGAACATGTAACCAAAATTGATTCCAAAGGAAAATCGGACCAATCTTGCAAAGAAAACAATTTGAAAGTGAAAAAGGATTTTAATAAAATCGAATTATGAATGATAAAGAACTTTTGAAAACGTTCGATTTTTCAAGAAAAATTTTTTAATAATTCGGAAATCATTTGACGCGCAGTGATTAACCAATTAATATTCAGATTCTCAATACTTGTTCATATGAGTCATGAAAATAAGATGCAAACAATACATGAATACACTGCAAACTGTAAAAATCACAAATAATCGTGAAACAAATTTGTAAATGCGTGTATTAATATTATGCAAATCATAGAATAAATGTATTTATAGAAGTTTTAATTTTACTAATTTTAAACTCAAACCAATCACACGTAAACTTGTAAAAGCAACGACAAACATCTAAACTAGCTGCGTTTTATCCATTTACAATTAAAAAGTAGTGAATGCATACATTATTATTAATTATTCGTATACACAAATTAGCAGTTTAATTCGCAACCCAATCACACAGTTAAAAATATAATTTACTACTCCTATTTTTACCGTTAATACTAGAAAAACTTTTTCCTAGCCTCTTCTGCCCTACTTCTCCATACCCAATATCCCAAAAGTATTGAAGTTTGTATGATAATTAAACAGAACAAGTGAACAAAGGTGATCCCCTGGTCAGGGATTGCTGGGCAAACGTGGGTCTTTCTATTCTGAATCTCCTGAAACAAAGACCGTTAGTTTGTGTATATTGATCTCGCACTTTACAATTACATGCCAATATACGACAACATTATGGTTGGCTGGGGCTAGTTATAAAGTACATAAAGAAAACCAGAATACAGTGGCCAAATTGGACCAATATACTTGTTACTAAAATACCTTAAGCTGCGTCTGGACAGCCCCAATCGCAAGGGAGACTGTTTTTAGGTCTCTTTCAGAGCTCTGGCTTTTCTTAGAGAGACTATCCATCTTGGTTATGACACTCTGCATCTGCGCACTGAAAAAGACAACAATATATCTGAATGCACAAATGTGGTAATACAAAACTGCCACCAAAATGGGTAAAATACTTTCATAATAAGGTTTCTCATAACTATGCGTGAATTCGAAATAAAAAACTGTTTAATCAAGTTAATAAACATTTGATCTGTTTCTCAGAAAACTAATCACGTTTCTGCTTGGTAAAAAGAAATCATAATATTTTGTAGTTCGAACATGAAATGTACATAGTTACTAGTCCATACTTTTATAACTAAAAGGTTTAGCTGAAATATTTGACTTTTGGTTTCGAGTGAGAATACTGAACAAGACCGGACTTCTTTGCTTTACTTTACATTAATGCTATTTTTAGTACCGTACCCTGGAGTTTAATTGACGTGGATTTTCCGCCAAGACGCGCGCGCAAATAAAGCTATGTCAATGCCGCGCGCCGCAACTTTTCATGTTATAAGGTGGATCGACGATGCGCCTTCCTAACGCGTTTCACTAACGCACACATTGAAGAGTCTTATCTCGTATCTGGATAGCACCTATTATATCGTTATCGATGATATCAGATATTTAAAGTTATACATTTTGAAGTAGCCTGTCATTTTAAGAGTGACAAGACAATCGTATCAGTACAAGATTCTTACCCATTTGACTCGATCTGTCTCACAAGACTGCTCTGCATTTTCTCCAGATTTGCGACGGAGGATTTTATCACAGAGGTATCACCACTATTGTCAACATTTACTAGCTCCTTTATGACACTTCCCAGTTGATCAAACTTTTCAGACAGCTTCACTTGGTAATCTGAAACATAGCCATTGAAAGTAGGGGGCTACTTTGTACAATGTGCAGAGTTGCAATACAATGTGCACAGGAAATTGTACATAGTTAGCAAGGTGCGTCAGTTGCCCTCATGGAGCGACAGTATACAAGTTAACACAGTTGTAATATCAAATTTCAAGTAGAGGGGATGTTGTAAATGTTGGTTTGTACAATGTACATCATGGAATTGTGACATATCGAATCATCAGTGTAAATACACATAGAAAACGTACTGATTACGTTGATATTGGCACTGATTACCATAATCTTAAGTACAAGCTGGCTGGATGCCAATTCCTTACTTCACAACAGTTAAAGCATGCTACATTTTTCATCAATGGTTAACGATTCCAGCGCTACATCTGAATTATAAAATATAAATGTACTGTATTTAAGAATATTCTAGTAAGACGTTTCAAAAGCTATTTGTAAGCTACTAACCGATTAAACTCTTGTAGAACAAGTTCTGTTCGTCCTCCACGACCTGTTTATATTTATCAGGGTTCTTCTCTCTGTACTTCTTCTTCTTCTCCTCCAGCGCTATATCGTACTTCTCGTAGTCTGATAGGATCTTCTGCTTCGTTTCGTCGGTCAGCGGGGTGGCCTGAATCACATTAAAATATAATATAGTTATATAAACATGTAAAATATTGTACAATAAAGATTGTGTTAAAACTCAAGAAAAGGTTGCCAATGAATATAGAGTTTGTTAATGAACACAGGTTCGGTGCCTCATGTTCTACGTATGGAACAAACAAAGGGGGAAAATTAAGCTACTCCAATTTGAGGCTTTATAATTAAAAGCTGTTGAGTTCTGCCGAACTCGAGCATCACATATCATGTATCCCTAGGATCAATCTTATTGACAAATGTTTGTAAAGTTCTCGGTCGGGATTACTTTTTTGTCATGGTCGACCACTGCTCATAACAGTTTCAAATTAGAATTCTGTGAGTTATACTTATAGTTATAACAGAAAACAATAATTCATTATTATCAATTATAACACCATCGCAAAATGTATAGTTCACGAAGATCTTTAGACTGAACCTTCATATGCGGGCCTTATATTAGTCGACCTCTAAGCACGTATGTACCATTGAGAAAATTAACAAAAGCGAGGTACACACACTCTAACACACTAAACAGATCTTGTTTAACAAATGTAGTACACCTGCCGACACCTACTAGCACACTAATTCACACCAACTAAATCTAGAGGAAACTAACAAGGGCCCTTATTGTTCTCGCAGCTTACTTGGTCAGTGCGCTCAAATAGGGAGTACGTCAAGAACTTGTGGACGTCGTGATCATCTGAAAATCAAAATATCAGTTAGCAGTGAGGTAATGGATTGTGGCTGTGGTAGTGCATATTGCATACTCAGTGGTAAAATGTAAAAATGTAGAACATCTGTAAATAGAGGGGAAAAACGAATAATTGGACTAAGTTTGCTAATATAAGCTGACCAGCTAGTGCGCCAGTAGCAGCTGAGACACCAAAGAAGCCTCCTGGAGATAACTTTACATTTTCCTTCCGAAAGCAAGTCTCAAAGTCGCTCTCCCTTGTTGTGATACCAGGGTTTATCTCCATGGTTAGGACTTGTTGGTAGTAACGCAGACGGACTTGAGTGGGGTGGGGTCGGTTTCTGAACCCCTGGATACAACTCGCTATTTCTTGGCCTTTACCGTCCCTGTAATTATTGTGCAAGTGTTAATAAACGTCCTGGTAACAACAAATTGCTTTCAAAAGTTCAATGGGGCTATCGCTTTATTTCCATCCACTGCAGCTTTTTTTGAAATCTCACACTTATTTTACTTCGGAGTATTCCAACAGCAACATTGTTACACAAGTGTAACCAGCCAATTACAGGAAGCCGAAGGATTCATTTGGCCAGTTACGGTTAAGGTAGTGTGTACCATACTTTCTTTGCCCGAGACTTTGCTGCAATGGGCAGCTCCTCATTTAACCCTCACACCCGATTTCTCGAGTATTCGGCTGAGCAGACCGGGGGGCTGCATAAACCACTCAGGATCCTTAGCTGAACGTCAAAGACGCTCACCCCACGACTAGGCAGACAGCGGGATTCGAACTCGCAACCTCACGATTGCAAAGCTGGCGTTCTAACCAACTGCGCTACCTGGCCGTAAGCTTGCGATTGATTCAATTTCTCCTTTTTAAATCTCGAGATATATAAGGTCAAGTTTTACGGACCAAATGATAATCATACAATCATACCTCATACGGTTACAATTTCTACAGCTAAAGCCTTGCATAATTGTTTTGGTACAGTAATATTAGATCATCAGACTTTTGGTTGGGGTCTCTAAAAATTTGGTTAGATGTCCGTGAGGACAGTGCCTTAACCATGTGTGTGGTCGTGAGACTAAGTCTCGTCCTTGTCGAGGGAGCTGCTAACTGGCTCTCCTTTTATACTTCACAATATGAGAGGCAGAAAAGTTGGATTTATACTACGATATGAGAGAAAATATTTCCTTGTGTTTCAAGTCTCATGTGATAATTCCTGACCATCAGTAAATGAACACAAGCGTGTTATCATTCGTGATTGAGGTAGTGAAGGTCAAATTTTAATTAAGCATAAAACCCCCCAGCAAAAAGTTCAGATTTTCAGGACCGGAAGTAAAAATAAACATTATGCAAAAGGGATCTTACTTACTTGCCGTGGTCAAATGTTAAAGTCCCATCGTTAACAACTGCACTTACAGCAGGGTTATCGTGCTGAAAACATATTGTTGTTATGTTAGACTTGTTCGTTACTTTTTGTTGAACAATACGGGTAAATGCCTCACAGAATGGCTAGCCTCACAGAATGGCCAAATTTGTAAATGTTTTTGTAACTAATTTTTTATAAGAGACTGGTAGGTTTTGTGGATACCATATGAAACAAAAGTCTTCTGGCAACACTTCCTGTGGTGAAATCATTAACTAGGACCACATTTTCTGGCATAAATATGACTGTTTATGTAGAAATTTTGAGCACTGAAAAATTTGTTTTCAAATTTTTGAACTAAGTTTACATTTTGGTGAGAACTTCTGGCACCAGTATGACAGAAGATGTTCAAAGAATAGTATTCATCAAAAAAAACGAACATTGTTCAATATAGGAAGAAAAAAATGCTAAAATGGCTACACGCCTCACAAAATGGCCAAAATATGCCTCACAAAATTTGTTTTCAAATTTTTGAACTAAGTTTGCATTTTGGTGAGAACTTCTGGCACCAGTATGACAGAAGATGTTTAAAGAATAGTATTCATCAAACAAAACGAACATTGTTCAATTTAGGAAGAAACAAAATGTTAAAATGGCTAAACGCCTCACAAAATGGCCAAAATATGCCTCACAAAATGGCCAAAATTTAAAACTCCTTTTATTCAATGAAACTATAAGTCTAAAGTATTCACAAGCTATTTATTATACAATAACACCCCAGATGGAGTGTTTTTACAGCCGAATGAAGGTTATAAATCATGAAATCAGGGAATATGAACAACGCCACACAAAATGGCCATTTTTGGTGTAGGAAATTATGCCCTTTTTATTCAGTTCTAAGAAATTTCACCTATATGGGGGTGTTAACAAGGCATATTAATACCAGCAGCATGCCTGAAACAAGAGCCAAAGGTTTTAGAAAAATAAAATTTTCTCGTTTTCTTTTTTTTTTTGCCATTTTGTCAGGCATTTTTTCTTTTTTGTGAAACAGGGACAAAAGGATTTCGCGGCATGTACGAAATCGCGAAATTTCCCATTCTCCGCGACAAATTTTATGTATAGTTTAATGTATAGCCTGTTAAATTTCGCGGTATCGCGAAATTTGGCCAAAATCGCCGCGAAATCCTTTTGTCCCTGTTGTGAAATAATTTTTCACAGCTCAGTTTTTTCGTGAGTTTTAGGTTATTACCCCATTCCTTAATAGGTTTTCTAAGAACGTGTGGTGATAGAAATTTAAAAAGTATCTCCATCAACAAAATTATAGAAATTCAGATTTGGCCATTCTGTGAGGCATGTTTTTTTCGAGGAAGATTTTCCGGCCAATTTTTCTCAAAGAAAAAATGGTTATGAGATTAAATGAACCCCCGGGAAGAAAAATATGAGTGTCAACTTAGCTTCTTATGAGATAAAAACTGGAATAAAGTGTGTTTTGTGACTTTGAGAGACCTTCTTTTTTTTGGCCATTCTGTGAGGCAAATACCCGTAACTGTTTTTTATCACTGTGTTTAGTATAACCGTGTGTGAAGTTAGCAAAAATGTCAGTCTTAGTTAGCACGTATTCTGTAATTTGTTGATAGTCACCTTGTGTAGTGTTGTTTTAGTATCGAGTTTCAGTCCACATCATGTAACGGTCACTATTTAAATAATTAAGTCGTCAAAAGTTAAGCCTGCAGTAAGTTGTGTTTTCAAATGACAACATTTAGGAAAACATTGTAAATTTTATGTGAGCTATTTACACTGCAATGAAACTTGAAGTAAGTCGAGGTTACCATAATATACCTTGTTATCGTTATCAAAACTATCGAAGAACACTCCGAGTCCTCTCCAGTTGTTAGGAGAGCCAAACACGCTGCCTCCTTTCTTTGGTATCTCTTGTAGATACCATACAGCCTAGAAGATAAGTGATCATTTGAAGATATTGTGATGTTTTAGTGTTAGAATTAAACATATGATACCAGATAAATTAATAACCTATTTTAGCAATAAAGGAATAAAAAAGGTAAGTTTGTATATACAAGTAATTTACCATTCCATCAGCCCCAAGTTTGCCTCGTCCCTGGATCTTTAAAGAAAACTGAATCTCCCAATTGTTACCAACATACTGCAGCTTATTCCATATTTGACCTAAGGTATTCTATTGTGTATTTTGAATGCAGAAATCATTTAGTCGACTCTATACATCCAATATTATATATAATATTGGGATGGATCGAATCGAATATTTTGAGACACTATTTGAAACAGTATTTATATTTTTTTAACAATATTTAGTAATTTGAAGCAGTATTGAGTATCACTTACCCTGTTTGCTTCTTATTGATGGAGTCACTCGTACATAGTCAGTGGAGGGCATGCAACCTGAAATAGTAACCGTAAAACAATATTTCACCCTTAGCTTCGAATTCATTAAATCTCTAAATCATTTTAATTAACTAACATAGTAATACATATCTTATGCACGTTGATTAAATTAAAAGCCAAAGGGTAATCAAATGTGAAACTTATTACTAGTTTTAGCCGGAACTGTAATTATGATAAAACATGTTAAATTATATAAAATAACTTACTTCCACTGGCATCCCAAAACGGAACTTTTGCAGCCGAGTCAGTTAGAGTTGGACCTTTAAAACTATGCTTGTACTCAAAGCGTTTGTGAAGGACTTCATCAAAACCAGAAGCAAGTCCAAATAGCAGCCATAGCAGCATACTTAAATACTAGAATTAGAGGCCTGACACTGAATTTTAATCTAACAATTTTTCATATTAAGAAAGTATACATAAAAACAATAAGATCTGATACATTCAAAAATATTTTTGAGAGCACTCACTTTCGAAAAAATAAATATTTTCTTTTTCGAAAGTTTTGGAAATTTGGAGAAGTCTGGCACTGTAATACCGATATTTCGATCATTTTAAAAGTATCTGGGTTGTTTGTTTTACTGAACATTACTTACAATCCGTACAAGAAACCCCTGAAAGGATTATTTAATTGAACAATAAAGGACAAAGTTACAGACCGAACAAGGTCGAAAAAAGACAAATTTTTGCCTACTTCTAAAGTTGTACATAGATTCACCAATCACCCGGGTCAGCAGATATCGCTTCAAAAATTCTTGTGAGTATAGCTGATGATCATATCAAGATTTGAGTTTTAAGGTATGAAATGTGGCCTCAAACGACTTAGTAAAATTCATCGTAAAAAAAGGGCCAAAAATGGCAGATTTATGGCTTAAAATGCCTATAACTCAAAAAGTATCAGTTTAAAAAAAATAATTTTTACATAATAATAATTTTTACATCGTAATTAGCTCGGTAAGACGAATCTTTTAGTACCAAATTTTTAATAGTTAAAGACACAAAATTTGTAAAAAAATGTGTACAATTTGTACAAAATTTATACAAGGGGGACCCTTGTGTTCGAGCTAGAAAATTATTTAAGACAATTTGTCTTCTAAAATCACCTATTTGGTACTAAAATTTTCAAAACCACCCCCCCCCCCCCTCCCCCGGACGTCCGGATTTCCAGCTACTTTTAAGAGTACAAATAAAACCAACCCAGATTCATTGTTAATAAAATTCATATTTCATATATATATTATTATTATCAAACATGTCAATCTTACATTTATGTCAACAATCCTACAATAATTTAGAACCGAAACGTGATCCTTTGTAAGATTATATGTCCCAAAAGTCAAATCGACTTGTACTCAAGTATAAAATTGAACAATTTACTCCAATAACCACGGTCACTAGCAAGTTCTCTCAAATGGAGGATATCATCATATGACTCCAGCAAGATGAAACGCTTCCAGAGGTCAACCTTCAGGTGGTGTAGGAGGTTACGTCTGTGAGCCCCGAGTCTACCAACTTCACTACACATCTCGACAGCAAAACACAGCGCAGCTTGAGCTGGTGATCTTTCATCGCTCCTCAGTATGTGTCCTCATATATATATATATAGTTGAAATAAAATTCAGAGAGTTGAAGTAAATGAAACTTTTTCGTTAATTCTGCCAAAATTTCCAAATGTCCAGATTTTCAGAAACTACCCCCTCCCCCTGTCCGGATTTGTCCTAAATTCCAAAACCACCCCCTCCCTATTTGCCGGACGTCCTAAGTAGATGGGCCCTAAGTGATGCTATCGAATAATCAATATGGTGCATTCAGCAAAGAGCAGCTTTGAAAAAATGAACTCATTGAATATTTCGAAATGGCAATTGGCAACAACAATCGGCCAATAATTTTACTTCTCTAATCAATGAGGATACATGAAAACATAGTTAATTAGCATACAAAAAAGCCAATGATGTCCTAAATTCCGTACACCGCTACATGCTTGCCAATAAACTTCACATAAACACTGGCAAGAGCTGTTACCTTGAATTCTCAAACTCTCGATCCAACAAAGATGAAGATACACCCTCTGATCAAGAAATCAATATCAATGGCATACCCTTGGAGAGAGTACATGAAACTAAATTCTTAGGTGTAACAATCGATGAAGACCTAAACTGGAACGCACATAGAAGGAAATTAGCAAAAAAACTAGCCAGCTGCTGTGGCATGCTAAATAGAATTAAAGATAACATTCCCACATCACTCCATAAAGATCTATATCACACTCTGTTTGAAAGCTATCTTGCATATGGTATAACTGTCTGGGGAGGGGCATCTAACAAAAAACTTGAACCTCTGTTCAAAGCACAGAAAATGTGTGCCCGCATAATGTTTGGAGATAAAGAAGCATACTTGGATAAATTTAAAACTAGTGCACAATGCAGACCCTACGGGGAGCAAATCCTGGGCAAGGAATTCTACAGAAAGGAGCATACAAAACCTCTCTTCAACACTCATGAAATCATGAATGTGCATAATCTGTACTTCTACCATTGTGTTAATGACATCTTCAAGGTCTTGAAATATAGAACCCCTATATCACTATACTCCCTCTTTGAAACATCTGGCAGACTTGGCAAAGAGACACTCATTCTCACACCTAAACCATCAGACAGCTACATATACAGAGCAGGGACAATATGGAATACAGTACGACAAAATCTCATGCTAACTACATTCACCTGTTATAAGCCCAATCACCTCAAATCATCCATAAGAATCACCGTCACTCACACTCAAAAGGAAGGAGAACCAAATGACTGGAACTTAGCCTTAAACAGCGTTCGACAAAATTCAAAAACTTTAAAATTGACCTTACCTAGATTACTTAAGCTTGAAAAAGCGGTAATATCTTAGCAAAATATAGCTTGCAGCAGCCCCATACCTTGTCATGAACATAATATCGAAACTAAATCTGCCCAGTGGCAAATAGTCAGGCGTCCAGGAATTTAACACCTAGTCAAAATTTGTTGATAACCGGTAAAAAAAGATTCTTGTGGAAAAAATATTCACATTAATTTAAAATTAAATCAAAATTGGTCGCTCTCAGGGCTAACGCGATGTTACATCATTTTATCGACTCGAAGTTCGAATCGAGTGCATTCCTAGATTCCATGACTATTTCTTACCTATAAGATTGCTTGACTATTTTTTGCGCATTCAGACACCAAAAAACGCGCAGAAAACGCGCGCTATCCATTCCTCCTTCCTCAACATCCCGGAATATCAATGAAACTAATAAATCAATGAAACTAATAAATCAATGTTTTAGCTCATTTTACAAAGTCAAATATTTAAAACAATTAAAATTGTATAGTGCTCAATTTGTAAATGACTAGTTGATCTTTGCTATTGGAAGTTTGTCAAGGACTGGCAGCTAGCGGGGCAAGGAATGCACGGGCTTAGGGGCTTTTGTGCACACCAGAACACTAGCTCGGTAGATTTTTGGAAACTAGAAGGACTGAAAACTAAAATTGTTTTTGATGGAGGCTGAGGCATGTTTTTGAGAGGGACGGTATAATAGCTTGTGGTAACAACTGGCCTTTACTTTAATAGGATGAAGTTTTAGTTTTAGGACAGGAAGAAGGCATTAATAAGATTTGCTCTTTGTTTAAAAGGCAGAATATAAGCAATGTTGGTTATAATATGTATCAATATCTAGATCTTCGTTTATCAATTTTCACTAAATGGGTTTAAAATTTTAATAGGGAGGGAAATTCATCAACTTTATTAAGTACCTATCAAAAATAAATCTTATATCAATGTAATATATTAAAAATCATAATCCTAAGTCTAATAATAAATCTGTTAAAAACACTTTCTCACTACACTGCGCTCACACACGTTAGTAAGACAAAGGAAAAGGCACACCCAGCTAATTTTCAATTTCAAGATAATCATTTTGGATGTGTGGACCCTAAGGTAGACTTAATGTCAAAATTTAGATGAAAAAATAGAATAAAAAATAGAATGAAAAATTTATATGAAAAAATAGTCATGTAAAATAGTCATTTGAAATAGTCATGCAAAATTTCAGCTCTGATACGCTAAAATATCAAGTTAATCTTAAACAATCGACAATCTAATATGAATCCTCCCAATCCTCCCAGCCATATTAACTGGTGAACGGTGTAAATATAGAGCGGTATTTTAAAATGTAGCATTCAAAATTTTATGGATTCAAGTTGGCTCCTTTAGTCTAGATTCATTTAGAAAATTCTCGAAGTTCGAGTAATACAGTATTCTCAGGGTTTGGCGCTTAAGGAAGCTTCACATCCGAGACCGATTTCCACGAATCAATTTAATATTGTAGCTACAAGTCAACAACAGTGCAAGTGGGAAGGAAGTGAATCTAGCCATTGCTACTATATCAGGGGAACTCGTGTGTTCTAGGCTTAAGCAAGCTTCACATCCTAGATCATCTAGAGTACAGTGCAGACAACCCCCTCCATTATACATCCCTATCCCGCTTTAAGTCCGAAGTTTATCATTGTTTATTGTCTAATATTGTATCTAACCTGGCAGAAGCAAGCTTCAGATCCAAAGTCAGGCCAAAACTATCGACACAAGGTCGAAGCCATTTTCAGAGTAGTGAATCGTTCATCATGCTGACGAGAGTTAAATCTTGGATCTCAATTTAACGAGCTGCTATGAAGCATGATTTGGAGATGTCTGTGGGCTAGCCTATATAGTTCTTTTAAAAAATATTTCCTTGCGTTTCAAATAAATTAAAGAATTCTCAGAAATTTTTTATTTAATTTCAAAATTTGCAATTGCATATTCATCCGGTAATTATTCTAATGGATACGCTAAGCATTTCAAACTAATCTTGACCTGGGAGAAGAGCTGACCAGTGACAAGTCGGCCGCAAAGCGGCCGAAAAATAAATAGCCTTTTTTTCTTCCCAAACTGGATTCCTAGTCATATTTAAAATTTATTCCACTGGGTACCTCTGTGATCACATCTTTCTCTGGGTGCAAAATGAATATTTTATATATTATATAGGTTTATTAGTTTTATAGAAATCTAAAAGTTCTATAGAAATTTATTATATATAATAGTAGAGGCTCTTACGGGCATTGTCTGCTCGATACGCTAGGGACCCCAGATACACCCTACTAGACGTATTTTTGACCGTAGAATCGATTAAAAGTGGTTTAAAGATGATTGGACTGACTTTTTGGGGGTAAAATTGCAAAAAACCGATTTTTGGGCAAAAAATAGGCCAAAAAACCATGTTTTTTGATATTTTGAACAAGTTAATTTTGTTGGCATGTCGGCAAAACTTGCATGGAGATAGCTAAAACACAGCCACACAAGATGATATAAAAATTTGAAAAATCCCTCTATTTTTTTGGGGGTAAAAATCCAAAAAAGTGGTAAAAATTTTGACTTTTTTGCTTGAAGTTTGAATAAGTTTTTGCAGTTGTATTACATCAACCCAAAAATAGTCACATCGTTTTTGCCTAAATTTTTCCTTTACCCACTTCATATACTTTATCGAAGTTTGAATATTGTCACTCCGCAAGCGTTTTTGCCAAATTTTCGACGCGCACTACGCGCAAAAGCATTTTATTTAGTTGTTATCAATTGGCACCTGCGCGTTCATCATAAATTTCAAACAGCTATAACTCAGCGAGATTATGTCCGTTCTAGCTCATATTTTCACACCAAATAGAAAATAATGTGATCTTATTCCTGACAAAATATGAATATAATTACTCTATTTGCCTTAGCGTAATAGACTGTCAAAGTTTAAAACGCGCATTGGTATAGCACGTGACTAATAAGGCCAAATTTATACTTCTTAACATATTATCGATCCTTAGGCATCATACTATTGTGTCCAATTAGCGGTTAGGTCTCTAAACTCGTAGCAGAAAACACGTCTTTTTGCCCGTAAGAGCCTCTACTATAAGGATTATAAACATTTTATTTGTGTGTTTTGTGTTATGCATTTGTATACCTATTTTAGAAGAGATTTTTATAGAATGTTAGAAGTGCAGTAGGGTCAGTTTCAGACGAATTAAGCATAAATGACATCATTGCCATGTCTGAAGTGGTTTGTAAATGGGCCATTGTTAGCCAGTGGCGTAACGTTGCCTGTTGGCGCCCCCTGCCGAAAAAAGCGCCCCCCTGTTGGCGCCCCCTCCCCTTTTGGTGCCCCTCCCTAAAATTGAACAAATTAGGTGATTTTAGAGAATACGCCGGTAAAATCTCTAAAAATGTGTGTATCTAGAGCAAAACGCGCAGTTTTGCTAGTACTTTAGTTAAGTTTTCGAAATTGTCCCACATTCAAACGACGATTTGGCGCCCCCCTAAGACGGCGCCCCCCTGCACAGCGGGGTCAGCAGGGCCTTTCGTTACGCCACTGTTGTTAGCCCCAAGCGTTTTGGTCCCTCATTCCTGCCACTCAGCATTGCCTACTGTAAAGTAGACATTTTTCTAAGATAATAGAGAAACTGACCTTGTCTCACTAAATTCAACCGCTTACCATAATAAAAATACTAACAACCAAATGAAGTTTTTTAAATAATTATATACAATCACCAAAAATATTTCCTCAAGTTTACTTCTAGCTAACTAATTCGTGGTTTAAGCTCTTATTTTATTTATGATTAAAGGAATGTAAAATAAAACTTTTCGTTTCATTGAAAAATTTTCGTTTCATTGAATTATCAAATTGCACACAGAAACAATGATCAGGCAATGATGAGGCAAAAGGTGTTACAGAGTGCAAAAATAACACTAGAAACAGTAATGAGTAAGGGTATTATTGAGCAATAATGACAGTCGTCGCTTCAGCGCTCGATTTTCATAGTACAGTGTAACTTGTCGAAAATATGCGCGGCGTACCTAAAATTTAAGTTTCATTTTAAAATAATTTGTTGCCCTGACTAAATCGCATACATTTAGTCGAACTTTTCTTTACAAGATTTATGGAAATCTTTGTTCGTGATATGATATGAGATCAAAGTACCAAACTTGAATTGGAGGACTTCGTAGCTTTGATGCACCGCGCAAACTAGCATTAGCAATCTTGCTTCGCATCGAAAATTGTTCGCATCGTCGATTGTTGCTTTGCTTCACAAAGCAACGATCTCGATGGGTTGACACCCTCAATCAAAAATTGAAGTGCGCACGATTGGATGACTTTGCCGCTTCAACGAGCCGCGCAAACTATTATTTTTACTTTGCATCGAACGAGATCGTTGTTTTGTTAATTCGCAGAACAACGGTCTGGAAGGGTTGATATCATCAAGCAATGCGCACGAAAAAGGGCGTCATCCCGCAAAATCTCCATTATGTCTATGATTATGAACATAAACAATAAATGTAATAGCCTGTAATCCCTTACTGGGCCGCGCCCAGCCTGTCATCAGTCATATTCCCGCCTAATCTCGATTTATGAACATGATAGCCTGAGGTCCCCAGGTAAGTGATCACCAAGTTGCTTTAACTTGACGGATGTTACTCGTCTAAATTTCTTCGAAGTAAGTAGCGCGCGCCGCTTTGTTCTCAAAGGCAAGTGCTACGAAGTAGTGCACGCCGGGCCAGACCATTAAAAATGGTCAAGCTCTAACTACAGAGCCCTCTCACTTGCAGTAGCGCGACCGCAGTACGCCTAGACTCATGGCTAGGTACTACTACTATTGGGACATAATTATACTACTGTACTATTAACGCGAACGTCGCGTCAAGCTTACCTGGTCCCAGCAGACCTTACCGGCTAGCGATATTACTACAGGGTGATCGCCTTTTCACAGCTTGTTGAACTCCGCGCGCGCTCGTTAGTTCATTGCATTTAATGCACGCTTCAATTATTCCAAAATGCAATTGTACACGTACCACGTGATACGATTCAGCCAATCAGAGAACAATAATCCGCAAAGTTAAAGCTGCGCAGTTTTATAAGGCCTAAAATATGACTTTTCGCGATAATTTAAAATCTACATTGTTTTGAATTTGGCTCCTGGGGAGCTAAATTTAGTTTTACAAGACGGACATTTTTCTTTTACTTCCGAAGTGAGGCCCCTAACGGTAAGGTTTCCTGGGGTATCTGCAGTCTAGAGTATAAATGATAAACATATATAGTTCTATTTATACTACTAGTACTACTACATACTACTAGTTTCGATGAATTGCCCGAAAGTTTACCACACATATATTATGTTGTTTCCTCACGTCGCGTCGTAATTCCAATACCTGATTTTTGTTATAATATCAGCTAGCCCCACGTTGTGGGCCAGCCGTGCACATGCACGTGTGCGCGGCCATATCGTGGCCTTCGCCACGAAATGACGTTGATGATCCAGACGGGAGTGGTGAGACAGAAATCAGCCACTTCAAACTTCGCGACTATTTCGCGACTATTTCGTCCGCGCCAATATCACGTGGCATTGTGGTGACTACTTTATGCTTTAGTTACTTGGAAAATCGTGCGTATCTGTTTTCCTCAATTAAAAGCTGAGCAATGTTATCACACTGTCACTTCTTTACTTTTACTTTTAGTATATAAATCATTTTTTGTGTTTACTTATTATTGCTAGCAAACCGCAAATTTTTTAATTACAGAAATGTCTTGGCCTGATTTGTTAATACTAACAGTAATCAATCGTTTTCTAATAAACACGCACAACTCAAAGGTCATTCTAGCCAATTAAACTGAAACCAATGTCGGTAGATGAAGATCACGATCAAAATGTGCAGCATTTCTAATCGGTGATTAGTACGACAATATGCAGTAAAATGTGAAATTTAGGCATTCATCATGATTGATCATGTAGTATTGAATATTGATGGGTTATTTCGAACAGTTTCCTGCTAATAGTCCTACTTTAACTATTTAATTTACAGCGTACCATTTTAACGTTTCCCTCTGTGGTCAAATTTCTAAATAAATTCGAAAATTTCAAACGTTTTTCATCATTTCGATACGATAGAGAATTAATTGTTAATTTGTTAAAATGATTCGCCGTAAATAATAGTACTACAGCAGCTGGGAATTTACTAAGATTTGAAATAGAAGTTTACAATGTACAATTTAATACCCGTCAATTCGTAAATTAGAACATAAAATTTAATAATAATATCAACTTAATTATAATACAACTTTATTACAACATACAAAGTGTACAGACGAAATCGTCATAAATCTTGCATCGAACAGGTAAAAATGTTGAAAAGAAATAAAATAAATCAACAAATTGTAATCGCTCAATCAAAACGTTATAGGCACTGAGATCACAATGTGTGACAAAATTAAAAACCAAAATTGGAACCCAAAATTGTATAATTATTACTCGATCACCGTCAATTGTATTATACTTATAACACAATTTGTTCAGTTTTTTGCAATTTTGACAGCAAGAATCTATTTCCATGATTCTAATGTATCGAGCAGATAATGCCTGTAATAGCCTCTACTAATACCATACTGAACATGTCTAGCAATGTCGATCTCCATAAATGCTTACGCTAGAGTAATTGCTACATATACGTTATGTGTAAAGTCGCTTACGGAGGCCAGGGGAGGGGTCTATAATACATAGTATATCGGCCAAAATATGGCTTCGTAATATCTAAATGATCCATTTTCAGATTCCGATTTTAAAATGAAGCTGTTTTGAGATAGTATGTATGCTAAGACTACAAGTACAATTAGAGTAACATAGGCCAATAATGAATAAATTTAGGAACCTCGATTTATTAATAGATCATCAAATTTTAATTTATTATCATTTTGCTGAAATTTGATTTTCATTGCTCAATAATGAGATACGTAATTGCAAATGTTCAAAAAATAAGGATAGCACTAATAGTAGTACTAATTGTTAAAAGTTTTGGCTGGAAGACTTTTGGGTTACAGTTATACTATTTACGGTAATGCGACAATTATAAAAATATGACAAATGAGCAGCAAATCTTTTTTTGTAACATTTCACGACGTTTGCTGAAACAAATGGACATGAAAATGTTGACATTTGACCACATAAACTTGCATGATTGAATTATTGTTGATCGTACCGGCACAGAACAGTTGGAAAAACGAAGAACAAAATCTAATCCGTGGTAAAAGCGGGAAACCAATTTCATTCACGGCTTTGGTAGTATTTTTTATTCGTCTCTTCTTGCTCTTTTTAGTAACTTTTTTCAGACCTTGCCCTACCCACCACCTCATCGTAGTAGGGTCGACGGAAATGGTGCATGCGAAGCCGTACAAGTAGCTTCATATCATCTCTTGTCGAAGAATAGTTCAAATCGGCTTTAAGAAGTTAAAATTCTGTATTTCGCATTTCAGCTTTGTGGTCCAGATACAAGTACTTTCAGCATTAATTTCAGAAAATTGTTCACTCAGCAAACATTGCGAAAAGTGTGATTGTGGGATGATTTTGATCGATCTCGGACTGTGCTGTTGAACTTAAAACTAAGTTGTAACATTAGATATAGTGTCAAACTTGTCAAAATAAGCGTTAAATAGTTTCAATCATAATCTTGCGCCCAGGGTCGATATTAAATGTTGTGAAACTTGCAAAGACGTCACATGTTCTTGGTAACACAGCCTGACAAGCTAGATCTGTCTGTTATGATACATTTCTGTTCCACAGCATCTGGTCTGAGTGGAAACATCGTCTTCTTTGTCACCGCCTGAATTGTAAAACATATAAACGAATGAAGTCCGAAATAAAGTCCGATATGGAAGTTAAATTAATTACTAAACATGAATGCCTTCGAGCGTTCATTTTAATGTCCGTTCACGCAATGTCCGGTTTAAACACAAACGATCTTGACGTAAATTTCGGAGTTAGAATTGGAATTATCTTGATGTCTTGCAAGCATAAGTTATAAATATCATGAAAGATAGGGAATGTCTTGATTTATTCTATCTCAAACCTAACCGTCACACTTGGTGCGCTAATTTTACCAGGATAACGAGAATGGGATACGCATGGTTTTCTTTGACCATTCCTGGAGTCTAATCTGCACGATCTTGCTCATTTCTCTACGATTAGTGCAATTACAATCTGCTTTGAAGTTTGGCTTTGATCATGCATAATTCCCAAAACTAAATTTGTCTTTATAGCAATTATGTGCACTTAAAAGAAGAATTTGTCTGGTACGAGAAGGGCAGTGAATCTTTTATAGGTGCTTACTGCTTCTAGTACATATTATCTAGTTTTATTTCATTCCAGCACGGTTGACGCGAGGCTTGGGTTTCGAGCAGGTTAACATTACACCATCAATAGAGTTAAATTCTTATTCCTGACTAGTCTTGGCGTTCTCCTAACAGTAACTGGGATAGATATTCTGGCGACGTTTTTCACTTTCAGAAAATTTGAGAGAAATTCTTGGCATCGTGCAAATGCAATGTACAGCACGAAGCATCTTCTGGTAGTTATTTGCTGCAGCCCTCCATCAGGATCCGTGGTAAGGGGCCTTCCAGCGGACAACTCCGGACAATTTGTTGTAAATGAAATGCGATAGATGGCATTGGCTCCTACTGGCAATAAAGAAATACATAGATTCGAATTGTAGAATAACATTTTGACATAAGCAACCAGCACATGTCAATCTCATGATGCCAAATGGACTTATCGGCAGATAACAAATTATGAATGCCACACTAGTCTCTGGTTTTTGTGGGGGCTGTCACTACCTTCATTCTACCATCAGATAGGTCTCCCAAAAAGTGTCGGCACGACCTTTATACTGAATTCGATCAGTCGAAAAACAATGAATTATGAATGTGTAAGTGTTGCACAATGAATTGATTCTGGCTATCATATTAATTTATTGGTGTTTTATTTGAAACAACATACTCTGAAGTTGATGAGTTCTGGTAATACCACATTCAATTTCCGGGATGGGGGAGGGTTACAATTATTTTCCGGAGGGGAGGACCGGAAGGACTATTGTTAACATCATCCGGCTGCAGATCTGGGATACTCCTGTTTATTGTTACTTGAATTCATGGAGTTACAGATACTTCGCAATGCATTTGTTACATTCTTTTGCCTTATCTACGACTCTTCTTCAATCGGAGATCCAGTTCTTCGGGAGTCGACTTGTTTGTTGTTTATGATCAGGTGCTTTCTAATCCTTGGATTTCATGTTTCTCATAGAAGGTATCTATCGACTTATTCCCGTAATTTGTGAGGTCTTTCTTTAGTTCTTTATTTACTAAAGTATTCCGCACTGAGGTGCGACATTGTTAAAACATAATATTTACATAGTTTGTATTACTATTGCAACATCGTATAGAAGGTAAGAATGCGATATTTTCGTAAGTGTTCTAAAGCACCTCATTCAAAACCCTGAGGAGCTGGTTGACAGTCGTGTACTGAGGTGAATATTTATCTAACAAAAGATTGCATTCAACAAATATCACGCTCAAACAAAACCTTAAAAAGTCCTGGTCCGCGTACTAATTAAAAGGCCACTCTTCATCTAATTTTAAAATTAGATGAATATTTCTCCGAATTTTTGATCTGTTCGGATTTCAAGTCATTAATCCTACTCATTGCCAATTTTCGGAGTTTCGTTTTATTGTCATGCCCTGAACGAAAGTGACAAAAGTGTCTTTAACCTGCGTCATGAGTACTCAGTACTGCAGTATGAGTCAGTTTGGCTGGAGAATTTTCGAGGTCTTTAGTACTTTCTGTAGTTTCGTTGCTTTCTCTTTTTCATGATGTGCACTGAGCACACAATTAAATACATCTCACTTTGCAGTTTAAGCAGTATTCGATAAGTTCTTATTGCTTTCAGGATTGTTTAAATATGCATCTATTCTGACTGAAGAAAGACAGACATTTTAAAGTCCCAATTGGTTTAAAATTCAGGTTTTTTTAATCCAAAGTTTCGTACCACTATAATTATCCCCGCCAAATTCACATCAACCGAATTACCACGAACTTTTAATGATGATACAGAACCAAATCCATCCTCTTTTGAGTTAAATACTTTTTATGATTCATGAATCGGAGGATGGTGGGAATTTATTACAATTATTTAGTGAAAAAGGCTTAAAGTAAAACGATGCCATAGAAATTAATCTGATCGTTTATATCTAGAAAATGAAGAATTGGAAATTGGGATTTCAACCGTCGTGAGTTGGTACGTGACACCTGTCGTTTAATGGGTTTACTCATGGTAAATACTGATGAATGAGGGATGAATATTTGATAATCTTTTGTCCATGGAGTCAACAAACCGAGTCAGGTTTGCTTATAGTTATACACGTGAGATATGTCACGTCTATTATGTTATATCATTGGCAGCCTTTATACTTCTGCTTTTGATTAATCTTGCTTATTAGCCGCGATCGAACAATGAGAAATTATCATATTTTGTAGTTGTGTGTACACTCATTACTCTATTACGTTTATATCCGTCATCAGTATCTTTATAAATTTTGAACTGGTAGTCTTGGATGTAACTTTATCTTTAATGTATCTCTGGATAGTTAGGTTAGTAAGAAATTCAAATGTCATACTAGGGAGCAACTAGCTTGCAGCTGAATACGATTTATACATGTATTTTGAAAGCTCCTGCTTAATAAACATTTCGTATCACTTATATGTTTTAAACAACCCCTCCTGGGAGCAACTGAATAATTCAACACAATTGTCAATAACCCTTACCTATCTAATATGGTACGGTTTAGGATAATTTGAATAATCTGACGATTTATCTGGTAAACGGGACAATACCACAAAACCATTTAGGAGCGATTATCATACGTCATGTCCCATAACCTTTATCTTAACTCTAATAACTCTATGTTGGAAAATTCAAAACGCTAGCCCTCTACTATGACCCCAACCCTAACCCTAACTCAATCCCTATAACTCCAGCATCTGATAAACCCCTAATGATAAATATTACTTACTTCCTTTTATGGCCATGTCACGTGATCAAGACAGTTTTTCGTGATAACTCGTCAGGGAAACATTTTTAACTCTAAGTCATGTAGGGTGATTCGGTATCAGCGTTAAAAAATACATCAAATTAAGTTGGAATCCTAAACTCTAACCTTTACCCTAGCGCTACACCTCACCATGACCCGAACCCTGACTCCACTGCGACTAGAGGTTCTGGGAGAACAACAGTAATGGAGCACAACCACCTGAGGCAGGACATCCGTTCTGTTGAGGAAAGTCATTTGATTTTGCTAGTTGAATTTATTAGTTGTTCGTAAGATTCTCAGAGGGCTTGTCATCCATATTTTCCTGGTACATTGTCGGCTTGATCAAATGGGACAGTGGCATTATCTCTGCAGTAAGGAAACTTTAAAATTTTCTCGTCGTAACAGCAAGGTCCCACACTTCAGCTGATTCAACAGCTGGACCTGGCAAGTGGGGCCTGGCACATGTCTCAAGGTTTGTTGATGTGCAGGGTTTTAAGCAGTGGTAAGCCCTTCCTGCCATCAACATGTTGCAGTACCATCCTTACTTAACTGTCAAATAAGTACAAGAGCGTTAGTCCACTGACTTACTCTTAGGATAACTTTGACACATTTATGTTGATAAGCGCTGGTGGTGCTTTCAATGGGTTCTCCCAGCATTTGAAATGACATAAACAAGCGCCACACTGGGTCACTGGGTCCTGATAAGTGGAAGTGTGCGTGAAACTGGTCATAGGCATGTCCCCTTATTCCCAGAAGAGATCAACTGAAGTATAAGATTTTTGTACCGGTTTTTCAGCTGGCGAAAATTCTGGAAGAGTCGTTGCGAGAGTGTTCTGTTTGAGATTTTTGGTTAGATGGAAGAGTTTTTCATTGTATATTTTCATCCCTTACCTCTATTATGTTACTTGAAGTGGGCCTGGATGTCTTATCTGCTAACCCCAAGCATTAAGCAATTATCGTCTTCGTGCTGGTGTAGCACACAAAGAAAGCAATGTTGATGCAAATTTGAGATGGCATCAGGATTTAATTATTATTATATAATGTATATATTTTAAAAACATATTTACGTTATATTTTCTACTATACTATTTTTTTCGCCATATAAAAACATATACATAATAATTTTGTAATATATTTTAATACTTTCAACACTACTATAATATAACGAATAATTCGAGTATTATTATGTAATGGGATGGAAATGCTTTAACCAGGTACCGCTAGTCCACACCCAGGCTCCATAATATGAAGGACTTGTTTTAATTCTGAATGAAAAGCTCGAATATTGGTATTGTCAATTGTTTTTGTGCTCGTCGTTGAGCAAATATTTATTTATCATATTGTTTATGATTATATCTACTGTATTTGTATATCATATCACATATTTATTTTTAAATCATCATATGTATCTATTTTTACATACATTTATTATTCTATTTATCTGTTATTTTATTATATCGCTAAATGCTGATTTAGTTACTATTATCAAGCCCAGCTGTACAAGGCAGGGAGTAAGGACGTCGTGTATATGTTTTGGCATATTTCTGATTACATGAGGATCCGAAAGTAACCAAAAGAACTGAAGTTTCCCATTTTATGTTAGTCACGTCTTTCGTCGATCCGTACCATGTTTTTTAGAAGCCGTGTTACGTTTTCCCAGAGCTCGACATTCGTTTACTTTGTTAAATTAAAATAAAAGAAAGAATTATCCGTGAATAGGACGTAAAGCAAGTTAATCGTT